CTGTGACTGAGTTTGGTAAGAGCAGTAGCCACGGTGAGGCACCAGACACTGCTTCGAGTTCAGTGAGATCTAAGGAATTTTTGTTTGTCTTTGTATCAATAATAATAATAATAATAATAATAGAAACCACTTAATTTTCCTCCATCGCGGTTCACCACAATGCGGACAGGAATATTTCCTGTTATTTCATTGCAGCAGCCTGTCCTTTTATTTGATGTTGAAATACCTTTTCCTTTATGCCCAGGTTACAATGGCGCAACGTCGATTAATTATTAAAGGATAATAAAACGATTAAGCACTAGTTTGTGCGAATACAAACAAATAAATATGCTGGACGTCACATTTAATACTGGTTTTAAAGTACTGGAGGAAACGTCCATATTCAACCCAACATTATCCATATTCAATACAACATTGTGAGTTGAGCTTTAGGGGATTTTAGCTTATAGTCCATTTGTTGAGACATCTCAAGATTGTGTACATTTAGTTAAGTACTTAAACAAATAGACTACCTATAGTGCAGTTGATCGGTTAGTCGTTGGGCGAAGATAAAATCGGAACATTTAATTTTGTTAAGAATTTTCTGTAATATGTATGAAGTTATTGGGAGTTATTTTCCAATATAAAAGTTTACAGAGAAATCACGTGTTTTAAATTATATTCCAATATTCTTTGACTTTGCATAAAATACCAGTTATATAGTCATGTGTATATTTGTGTGTAACACTTTTGTGTATGCACTTGCGTGTACACTAATGTGAGTTAAGTTCTCTTGGAAATTAGTTTGGGCTATATATACTAAAAGATCAGATGAAGACATCTTAATTGATGTCGAGATTAATTAAATAAAAAAGTGGACTATATCTAGCAATTATTTAAGCGAGGGCGTAGTTTAACGTATTTAATTGCAATAATTCATTGTCGCCTAGATAATTTGTTTATAAGTACAGAACTTTATAGTGGTTAAACGTTTTATGGTGGGTAGAAGAACTTTACAGTCGTGGAACAAAAGTGCTAGTGAATTTGACTTGTCAACTTGTGTCTAAGGTGACGGGTGCAGTGCCAGTTCCCCTCAGAACTTTGTGAGGTAAAGTTAGTAGAGTAGCACTGCAACTGTTATGGACAGGCGTATCGTTTTCTACAAGGCGTACGACGTGCTCGTCCCGTCCCGGTATTATGAAGAAAAAGTGAACCTCATTCCAAAATATCTTTATTTAGCAATAGAAAAGCAAGCAAACAATAATTACAAATCGTTAAATTGATTAAACATTTTTACAATTTTTTTACAATTTGTAAGGCAACTTTTCTTGAAAAGAACGAGTATTAACATTTGTTCACATTTATAATTTTATTTTAAAATATTGTAAGACTGAGCCAAAACGTGCCACTGCCGAATTTTTATCATTCAAGTACACAAGCTGTGTAATAAATAACCTTTTGTGTGAAGTTTTTATTTCAAGATAGTTTAATACATTGAACACGGCAAATTGCGAATACCACTAGGAATATTGTCATAGAAGCGTATGTACTAATTGAATGACTTTATGAAGACGACTGTCAGGACAAAACCTGTTATTTTTTGCTCCTCGTTTTAATGTTACGTCTATCAATATTTTTCATGATAAAAAATATTATTCTACTTAAAGTACATTGTCATATATGTGCCGTGAGGCTAGTGTAAAAATAAGAATGTTCCGACTCTTGGGCCTATTTTGAAAAATGGCCCTAACTGCACGCTTCTGCATCGTCTGTTAATGTCGGCGGCTTTTCCCCAAAGCAAGTAATTTTAGTATCTGTTATGAAACATTAATATCTTTTGACTTAATACGAACACACAAACGGTGTTAGATTAATTTTTTTATACACGATCCGTAATCTGTACAGGAACCTGAAACTAATATCTAAATTCGTGGATTGTTACTTTCTCATTGAACAATATAGTCCAAAAACTCACAATTTTAACCATATCCAGTTTTTAGACTTTCGTAATTGCCATACACTGGAAATGAATTGTCTTTAAGGTTTTGTAACTATAGTTCAGAATAAGGTGGTTTGCATTATTATTCGACATAATTAGTTGATGACTTTACTCAGTAAGTCGTGACTAAGGGACCTATAAAGGGGCCTGAAACGTTTGTTTGACAAACAAGTTTCTTTTTATAAAAAATGAATGTGCATTTGACCTACATCTCACCTGGAATGGAAAGTGATGATGAGGTCGATGATGTAGCATGCACACCTAATATACGCGATTTAGATCGGAAAAAAATTCAAATTTCCCATATATTTTAATAAAACTACGAGCCAATAAGAAATAATGAATTGCTTTTATTAAAAGTACTACCATATAATTTGAATGAACATCAAAGTACGGAATATAAAAATTACTTGGTGATATCGTAACACTGTTCGCTTAATATTTGGGTTTGTTTTTAAACATAAACATTTTGATACATAATCATAATCGGCGTTTGGCCACGCCAGTCATGCACTAACTACTCCAGTTTCAAGTGGCCATATTGATATTATATTACGCTGACTGGAAATAATGAGAACTAGAAGTAATTGTTTACTCAACAAAAAGTTTGTATTAGTTTTAATTAGTATTTAATAGAACACTGGGAATCAGCTTTTTGTAACTAAAATTTGGATTTATATTCAAACATTATTGTCATTCGAAATTATAAGTAGAGTGATGACGTTTTTTTTGTCTGACACAAAGAGCACCTCATGCTTGTCTCTTTTGCTCATATCTTTCCTTTTGTAATATCGAAAAAATGACAAAGAAAAATGTAGTAGCATACATTGTATGTTGATTTATCGCTTAATATGTTTTTTATGTTACAAAGTTAGAATTTAACCTAATACTTACATATTTGTATTATGAATTATATTTTATGTTATTTCTTTACTAACTAAATAGGTAACATACAATTCAGAATACATGATTATGGAAAACTGATTACGATTCCATGGAATAATTTTATGATAAAAACTCCTTCGATATCATGCTCTTTTTTTGCGGGTAATAGCACCTACCTTTATTAATAATAGGTGCATAATAATTAGGAACGAACGTATTTATAAATTGAAAATAATTAGGTGTCTGGTCACGTCGGAGTTTTACTGTGGCAATCATTATTTTCCTCTTCATTAAATAAATTCGTGTTTCCTTACAAATAAGGAAACTCATTCTATATACGATTGTTTTTTAAGCTCTATCTTTTCTTGTATTCGTTTACTTTGGACAAAGATGAATGGTAACATTTTTAAGGTTTAAGAATGACTATTTTTATCAAAACGAAGATAACCTATTACTCTACAAAACCATCTCATAAGTATGTTAAATATTTATCTTAATTTTGTTTATTTGGTCTGACAGAACATTATGTGCCAGAGGTCACAGAAAAAAATGAGTCATGTTTAGTACAATAAGTCCCTTTGTGATTTAGATATAAGGTTGCTACTGAAGATAGTATTAAAACAATTATGCCGTTGAGAATGTAGCAAAACACTTTTATTGTCAACTTCACATACATAATGACTCATAATAATGAGTCAGTGTTCTCCAAAATACTGCGGACTTCGTCAACTTATACATCCTGAGTTCGTTATGTTATGATTCAGTCTAGGTACATAAATATTATTGATCTCTGAGCTTCGTTTAAACATGTCGTGTTCTTAGGTTTTCGCGATTGTTACACGTAATAATAATAACAATGATAACGCACACACTCAAAATAGCCCTGCACTAGGGAAACCCGGGTGCCATGGACACATAGACACCACAAATTACACCCAAATGCACAAGAGAAATAAATGTAGGCCATATAAATATTTCTCCCGGCCCGGGATTCGCCGGAACTTGGGACCTCTGCGTGGTAGTCCGGTATGATAACTGTTCGGCCACGGAGGCAGTTTACAGTTTACATAAGCATGAATAATGAAATTATTTTTACGGATTTAAATCGGGTATATTTGTTCTTACAAACACATGTGAAACCAACAACAGCCATGTCAGGTCACCTTATGTGAGAGGTGTTATGGACAAGATCGAAATAGTCCTCAGGCGTGCGTCTATCAAAACCTATTTCAAGCCCCGGAGGAAGATTTCTCAGTTCCCGAGAACCGTGAAATGTAACATCACCTTACAGGATTCAGGAGTTTACAAGCTTGACTGAGAATGCGGTCTCTCTTATATTGGACAAACTAAGCGAAGTATTTGTACCCGCGTTAAAGAATATACAGCTGATGTCAGACACCGTCGCGTAAACAAGTCCGCAGTGTTCGAGCATGTCGTCGATAAACCCACTCATTCAATTAAGTTTGACAAACCTCAAGAACCTTGCAAAAGAAATCCGTTATCTGCCCAGGATGCTGCGAGAGGCCATTCACATGAAACAAATATCCTAATTTCAACAGAGAAGACGGTTTCTCCGTTTAGTCAGGTTGAGATCCAGTATTGCCTCTCATGAAAAATCCCAAACAGACATAACAATGCAGTACTTATTAAGTTCTGTGGTCTGAAAGTAATATAATGAAGAATTAAGTACTTTCTTTCGACAATGTGGACATGCAAAGCATATGCATGAGGTTTGTTTGAGTTACACCATTTGTGGTGTTGCTAAAAACAAAAATCTTTTTATTTTGAAATGATGGTATTATAGTAGATAGTGAGTAGTTTGAAATTTAAGAAGTTAACTTTTTTGTGTCTGTTATCTGGTTTTTTGTAATCACTTTTAGTGACGCATTTTACCATAATTTTACCGTATTGGAATTTTATCGCGAATTTCAAGTATATCATCAGCAAACAAAACTTCATCCAACAGTATCTTTTGGTTATACCATGCGACCTACTATATAATTGATTATGTGTAGTCGTATTTTTCTATTATCCAATGCTATACTTATCAATAAATAACTTTATGCATGTGGAATTCAAACTCTACAATGAAAAATATATAATTGAAAGTCGTATAACAACGATACAATTGTTACAGAAAAACACACTCGATCTCTACATCTCACATCAACGAGGACCCTTCTTCAAAGCTGAATTCCAAACAGAGCTTGACTTAAGGAAGTTCCATATTGCAGACGTTACTGACAAACGTATATTTGTCTCTGTCATGCATACTGAAAACCTTGCCAACTTGTATGTGTCAGAAATAAGCCATAACTTCACGCAATACAATTTCGTTCTGAGTATGGAGAGGATACTTTGTTACTTCCCTGATGGAAATTGGAAGGACAGTTGGTTGGAGTGAGTATTAATTTAAAAATTATACATTTATAAAATTAATAATATTAATTAGGTATCTGTTTTATAACTTCGGACGGTCATAACATGTAGCTAATAAATAAAATTTCTCGATGGACTGGATATTTATAATCAATCAATTCAATAAGTTATATATCTGTCGGAATTATGTACAGTAGGTTCTTATTTTAATTCATAGTTTCCCAAAATGGTCCCTACCCTCCCAGTGGGCGCTGAAGTGTCCTAGGTGGGCTGTAGTGGCCTCGGAAGCAATTCGGGGGCGTTGATGCTGTCCACGGAGTACTACCGCACTTGAAAAAAAAAATGAATTATCTACATAAAGTACACTACATATACATATACTTTTTTTTCCCTTGTGGTTTATTGTGTTAAGTTAATATAAAAAATACGTGTTTTTCAATTATTTTTTGTACTGGTGGGCGTTGAAATTCCACCAAGTTAAGTTTTAAACTAATCCAGCTTATTCTACCACATTTGGCGTACAATTATGATCATTCTTCAATACATGATAAAATGATATTTATCAGTGTTCGAGTGCCATAACATTAGTCACGTGATTTATCTGACAAAACTCACCGAAGTCACGTCAAAGATTCGAAAGGCATTTTGTTACTTGTCTAAATTCAGAAAGTGAAAACTGTATACCGTTAGAGTCATTTTTTGGGTAAATTATTAACTCTAACGTATTTTTCCAGAGACGTCACGGAAGATCCGTTCACGGATCTCTACCGCGTGGAAGGTCTCAAGGGCATTTACATAGCTTCCAAAGTGGATTCTGCAGCTGCTGTCTCCAACATTGGACCTGAACACTTGGTCTCTTTGATCACCTTTAACCATGGTGTTACTTGGGCGCCAATCAACCCTCCTACTGAGGATGAAAATGGTAATTGTTATTGTATTTTCGTATGCTTTTTGGTTATGAGTAGGAACATTCCATATATCATACATATCGGTACATATTATGTACCGGATAAAACAGCAAAGATAAAGAATAAAGGAATGAAGGAGGAGGAACGCACCTTCCTGTTACAATATTTTTTTTTAAACTATGCTAGTGACCCCTTTAGCTCTTTTAGGTTGTTTCGTTCTATGATATTTTATATAATAATCACAGTTCAGAGTACTAAAAAAACCGACCTCAAAAGTTCGTTGTATTACATATATTTGCCAAGTTTTATTGAAATCGGTTACCGGAAAATGTACGAACAGGATTCATCCCCTAGTTTACCACCCTTAGAGATGGAATATTTTCGTCAAATTTAAATGAAACACCTATTGAAGTACACTCTTTCCAAAAAAAAAAAGGTTCATCAAAATCAGTTCACAAATTTCACACCGGAGTTATCGAATAGCAACATACAAAAAAAGAACAACCACTCGAATTGAGAACCTCCTCTTTTTTGAAGTCGGTTAAATATCGTAAATGATAAATGTACATGTCGATGGACTTATAATTTTTATAATGAAATGAAGCATTTCCTACAAAGAGAAAATGATCAAATTTTTAGTTTAACCCTTATACTTAGGAGCCATCGATGTGTAAATGTTTATTTACAAAGATCAGCTCTTCGGAATCTGTTTTATGAATAGAGCTTAATCAATTTGATGATTTCAATGTGTAATTTTCTTACCTACGAAGTAATGTTGTTTGAGCTTTAACTCCGTTTCTAGCCTTGTGATTATGGAAAGTCGTCTTTTTAACATAAAAAAAACAGGGTTTTCGTTTGTCCGCTATATCAACGGATAGTAACTGCATATTGACATGATGTATCATGCACTTAACTTGCACTTAAAAATATCAAAGTTGTATCGTTTGTTTAATATGGAGCAGAACTAAGAGTTTATTAAGCTATTTTGTCTAATTAACGAAATTGATGGAATATTTATAGTACAATTGCATTATAAGTATGGAATCTTATCGGCTTCCTAAAGACGAATCTATTAGTCGACATTATTTATTTTTTGTGATTCATCTAAAAAGCTTCATATAATTAATTTATATGCCAAATAGGCTGTAAACAATAATTATGCAAATAAAAACACATAAACAATGTTTGCCAGGCAAGCCACTGAACTGTCACATCGAGAATGGGTGCAGTCTACACTTGTGTCAGAAGTTCAGCCAACTGTATCCTGTCACGAGGTAAGCTTTATTTATTTTTTGTATAAATATCTCGACGTGTTTTGTAGATAAGAAAGTTTTGTGTTATACAAAAATATTGTTAAAAGAAAAAAAACTGGATTAACTGAATAATGGTGGTAGTGTTGGAGAATAAGCGACGTGTTTTACATTTGCTCGCTTGAGTGTAGGTTTAAATTGGTTGTTAGTCTTCCATAAAGCTTTTGATGTCCTGTATTGGCGCCCTAAAGGCCCGATTACACGGTTGATCTACAGCGCAAGTAAACTTTGCAAAATAAAAATGCATGCATCCGGTTTACTCGAACTACCATATTCCTTTACACAGCATACGTGCATACATGTAGACATACTTGCCATGCTCAAGCTTACTGCGGTAAATCCCGACCATGTGACTGGGCCTTGAAAGCTTGTAATAGCATATATGTATATATTATGTATACTTATTATAACCATTTGTGCGTCGTGTCTATTAAATCCGTTTCTTTGTTAAATTAAGATTCCACTAAATATAAGTCTACTTAATAAACCAACTATAGGAATACCTAAGTAAATATGTCTAAATAAGTATATTGACTGATTGCGTTGCCAGTGAATAATACAGTTCATTAAACTTTAAATGCAAGCGTCTCTATTATGAAAGCGAAGATTGTTATTTTGTTATCAATCGTCGACTTTGAGAATTCGTTCGTTCGAATACAATCTATATCAATTCTATTATCATATCTATAGCCTGTGTTTTTCTTGTTGTTTGTGTCTTAAGAGGACAACATATTTACAAACAAACAAAATAAAAAATATCATATGCAACACTTAAGAATCGTTAGAAAAAAATTGTATAAACTTGTTGTATGTATGATATGACCCTGACACATAATCATTACTTGCTGTCACTTTCCATTGTTGGCAATGGATTTCATCAAGTGTATTTTATAAATTACAAATATTGAACTTTATTTCTTATCTCATAAGGCATATTTAAGGATAAAAGAAATTAAAGTCAACAATCTGATGATTTTTGTAAATTTTTGAAACACCCAGTATTATGGCATTGATAAAAAATTAATGTTCCTATCATGTCATTTAATGGCTCTGTATATACTCGTAGATCTATCTCGGTGGGTAAAGGGAATGTATATGTACTTTGAGTGGTTGGAAACCCGTAACTAGTGACAATGATTTCATTTTTATGATTCACAGTGAAATATGCGGTAGATTAATCTAAATAAATATTTTTTTGAATATTTTTTATTTCTGTTTTTCGTTAATTTTTTTTATTGTAGGTTTTATTTTATTAATATAAATGATAATTAATACATTTTATTATTTATTTACATATATATATATATATATATATATATAAATAATATATATATATATATTATATATATACATATATATATATATATATGTATATATATAAACATAAAATAATATATATATTATTTTATATATATATTAATTATAATATAATTTGATCTGAGAACATGTTCGGAAACACAAGCAAATTGGCTTCCAGCATTCGCTGGCCGCTGCCGCGCCACACTCGCCTCCTTTGCTTGGCTCGTGCTGTTTTTTCATATACTAACGTAACCTAACCTACTAAATGGAGGGCGCAACCAAGTAACCAAGATTTATTAGGAGATGAATGTCAAAATACATACTGATCATAAATGTCGTCAATTAAAAGAAAAGACCAATGATAAGAAAAGAGGATCAAATATTATTTTTAAATATCAAGTACCAATTTAGTAAGCTAAACCGTAATAATAGTGTTACCTTGAATGAGCTATCAAGTAGATCAACTCATATAGATGGAACAATTAATATTATATATCAAATATAAAAAATATCGTTTATTTAAAAAAGAACACATTTACAATAAATCGATTATTTATTTGAGAATCAAATAATATTCTGAAATACGGAATTCTTAGTGTTTAAAATAAAAAAAAAAAAAAAAAAAAAAAAAAAAAACGTGCTTTTTTTTTAAATAAATTATATTTTTTTATGTTTGATAATATTGTTATGGTTACGAACATCCTAAGATAACTATGAGTCTGTATATATTTTTTTCATTAATAATAGTAAGTTTTTTATTCTGTACAAAATATATTTCGATAGATGTATAAATTAATAAGCATTACGGAGCGACATTACCATTAACACACATAGTAAATCTCCTTAAATGTAGATTAAAAAAACAGGAATATTTTTATAGATTAGTGTACAATTGCCCTTGAAGTGAGACCTAAATTAAACGTTTTGATGACGTTAAAATGCGAATTCAACTTGTTTCGTAACGAAATCTTTCACAAAGACCTCTACTGCTACAAATTTTGTATTTCTTATGTAAATATTATGTCTACCTGTACTTTTCATGCTAATATTTATGTATTTCTTAACATAACGTCGGCGATAGTGCAATTACACGTAACTAGCATTTGATTATGAGTTTCCATTTCGGTAATTTAGAGGCCAAAACAAATCCGCGTAAATGTCGTGACAACCAAATTAGCGTGACTTACGGGAATCTATTGCTATCACTCCGTAGACAACATACTTTAATGCTTACTGTGTAAAAATGAAAGTTGTAGCTGTTGAAATAACAAAGTGATAACGTTATGTATTTAACCGACTTCAAAAAAGAGGAGGTTCTCCTTTTTCCTGTGTTTTTTTATATGTATGTTACGCGATAACTCTTTATTTATTTTGTCGATAATTTGAACCGATTTGGATGATTCTTTTTTTGTTGGAAAGAGGGTACCTCAGTAGTTAGTGCCAATTAAAGTTGAAGAATATTCTCTTTTATTTGCGTAACGTTCAGTGTAATTTACATTCCAAGTTTTGTATTCATGTGAAATTATGGGTTAAAACTATCTTTTTATACATACGATTTATTTAGTACGATTTCAAGAAACAATGTATGTAGGTTAACTTGAAGTATAAGGGAAGTCGTGCTTACCTTTATAAAATTAATAAACATCAAGGAAAGTAGATACGGTAACTATACAAGTAAATGTTGATAAGGCGTCCTACCTACCCCAATGGGAAAGGAGTGAATTATTATGTATGTATGTAAATGATAGATGGATATAACCAGACTATTCTATATTCAATTATAATTATTACTGGGCAATAACATATTGAACTTGGGTGTAGATAGTACATATGTTGTAGTTCAATCAGCCTACATTGTTCTAATCATCACGTGTTTATTTCTCAAAATACATTTCTTATTGACGAGACCATGTAAAAACCTTAATGACTGATCTTTTAATTGGTTAAATTTTTTGACACTTAAAGAATAAGTAATTAAAAATTACCTAATATTTTGTTCAATAATGTATCTTATAGTAAGGCATTAATTTGATAGTAGTAGAGCGCCTTGTAAAAGAATTCATCTAGTGAAGTATTGCCACCTTACACCTAGGTCTGCCGCTAAGCAGTAATGCGATCATTACTGCGTTCCGGTTTCGAAGAGTAAGGGTGCTGGTGAAATTACAAGCACATGGGACTTGTCAACTTATGTCTTAGGGAGACGGGCGTGGCGGTAGTGCCCCCCAGATCTGTACGATTTAAAGCTCCGAGTGACACTGAAAGTGCTATGGATAGGCGCATGTAGGCGTAAACTTACCATAACACGCACGACTTGTTCATACCATGACTAGGCATCGTAAAAAAAATGAAATTGGATGCATCTTGTATGAAATATTCTTTAATCGCTTGTTATACAGATGTACTGTTTCTATTTAACGGATTAATGTATCAAACAAAGTACCATATATTAGTACGTACGTTTGCATGTTTTATAAATATCTTATTTATTGTTTATGTACTGATTATTTATTCATTAATTCTTCTAAATAATAATATTTACTTAGTTATTTTTGGTGTTCAACTGTACTGACATCAACTAAAATTGTTCACAGCCCTCCTGGAAATGTTACCAATAGGTATTTCAGGTAAAGATTTAGGTGGCTTTTTATTTTATTTTTAATTCGTGGATTACTGTAACTATTGCACTTTTTAAATATAATTTGCATATTTCTATGTCTGAATGCAATATTAGTAAATTAATAACTATCAGTGGTTTTTTGTCACCGGTGATTTTTGGTTTCATTTCCTGTAACTAATTTTGTTTTTTCTTTGCAAACAATTTAGTTTTCCTCATATTAATGATACCTATACAATTAGTGTGTTATTTCCTTAATGTTTTTATAATTCCTAGGTGTATTGTTATTTTGTGTAAATTTTAACTTCACGAAAATTGCCTTAGGCATTGCTGGCTTCATGTGTAACGATAAGCATGCGATTGTTGACGGTTGTCCATTATTATTGACCATTTAGTTTTTAAAGTCACTCATACTCAAATGTTTAGACTCTCTGCCCCCAATGGAATGGAAAAAGGGCTGGCAGGTAAAGATGACAATACAAACTTATCATTTAACATCATTTTTTTAATTCAATGAAAAATTTAATTCATGTTTCTAGATAATGTAAAAATAACAAACTTTTCCAACATTACATTCGTGTTTTAAGGAACGATTTGTATGAAATTTTCCATTATTGGTCAGCATAATTTGGCACGCCCAGAATACCTATCATATTTAAGAGCCAGGCTCTTCTTGGTGTATAGTCTGTCTTGGTTGAAGACGGAGTAAAATGACATTTGTAGGGCTGTCAGTTTTCAAAGATTTTTAAATAGTTATGTGGTTGTTGTCGATAGTCGTTTCGACAGATTATGGAAAAAGATAAAATTTTGCCAAAAATGACTGAATTGTGAATGTTACGGCGTTCAAATGATTGATGATTGCGTTATTGCCTTCTTTATTCTTATTTTGACAGTTGGCCTACTAGTATCGAGATAAATTTTTATTCATATACATTTTAACAAGAATAGCCAGATTTATTATGCAGGGTGTCCCAAAAATAACACGCCAGAGCGACACTGTGGGTAGGTGAGCTATATACCTACCAGAAAACAATATTTTGACCCTAGTAAAAGTCTTTTAGTTTTCGAGATATAGGCCCTTTTTTATTTTTTTGCAAAAACTCTACTCTTTGTTGGGTTTTATGCTGTTATTGCCATGGTTAGCTCCAGATGGTTGTTATTTTTATTTTTCGAGTATTCTGAATAGTTTTTCGAGGTACAGCAACTAATATTTTACTGAGAAATATCATAAACTATGAAAAAAGTGATTAATTTGGTATACCTTGTACCCTTGTAAAAACTTAAACATAAAAAAATTGTATGAAACTGAATTTATAAACGATCTTAAAAACTACTCCACTTAATGCAGAATCAGGAGTTGTACAATACTATTGAAATTTTTGACAAGAACTTAGTCATTTAATTTTTTTTCGATATCAACACCCTATTAGCCGAATTGGTTTCTAAACAAAAATTGTATTAAATTATTGAGCTTTATAACTAACTACTCTGTCGGTAGGCCCCAGGTAGTAAAAAATGAGCGAGAAGTATGACCCTTATTTGTTATCTCTGTCTTACGTCGGTATCGGTCGCCAGGTAGGATCGGGTCCGGTTGGGCTCGTAGTACCCGTTAGTACATACATGTGTTTTGTGCTACGTACGCGTTTTTCGTTTTATCGCTGCTTCCGTTTCTACACTTTCGACGACTTGGCATCACTTTGGACTTTGATTTGATAACGAACGGAAAAGTTTTTTTAGTAATCATATCAACAACTTGGCTTACTTTGGACCCTGATTTGCTTACTATTTGGACCGTGTTGTTTGTGTGTGATCGACGGCTGCGCCTCCGGATACTGCCTTTATATAGTTAAAATGGCAGATCAACAGAATATCGTTGGAGCAAACCTCGAATTCACTCATAGTGATTACGCTGACATGTACCTAATTTACGGCGAAACTAGACGTGTTTCTGCTCGCGGCATCGTATCGTTAAATGCAAGATTAGCAGCAAGATTGTATGCGGTAAGATTTCCTAACTGTAGGCCACCGACTCATGAGACCATAATAAGAGTTGATGCTGCATACAGAGAGGGTAGGAACCCTGGCCATCGTGGTGGAGGCAGACCTCGTACCGTCGCAGACGAAATAGTTTTGCAGGAAGTGTCAAGAGATCCGTCCACTTCAGTTCGCCTGATTGAAAGACGGACTGGCATTTCAAAGTCTACGGCATAGCGAATTTTAAAAAGGCACCGATACCACCCATACCATATTCAGAGAGTTCAAACTTGACTGCCGAGCGATTACGCTAAACGCGTACAGTTTTGTCAGCAAATGTTTCAAAAGCACAGTGAAGACCCCAACTTCTTTAATACGATTTTGTGGAGTGATGAATCAGCATGTCGCAGAGATGGCTATGTAAACCTCCACAATATCCATAGCTGGCAGTTAGAGAACCCGCACGAGAGAAGAGAAGATCGGTCCCAACACCAGTTTAAAATTAATTTATGGACCGGAATTTTCAATGGGGAAATATTTGGTCCAGTTGAACTGCCTCCGACTCTAAATGGCGAAAATTATTTAGAGTTTTTACAAAACCATTTGCCAAACCTTCTCGAAGATGTGCCAATAGCATTACTAAGAAGAATGTGGTTTCAAAATGATGGGTGTCCAGCCCACTACGCTCGCGACGTCCGAATGCACCTCGACCAGACGTTCCCACGAAGATGGATTGGCCGATTGGGACCAATTTTGTGGCCACCGAGATCACCTGATCTGAACCCCCTCGACTTCTTCTATTGGGGGTGCTTAAAAGATAAAGTTTACTCCAAAGCTATCACTACAGAAACCGAACTACGACGACGAGTCTATGAAGCAGCTCGAGAAATTTCTCAAATGAGTTTGAGGCGTCTGAGAAGCTCATTCGTCAAAAGATGTCGCATGTGCATTAGAGTCTCTGACTCATGAGGCAGTTTGAACACTTGCTATAATATCTAATAAAAATTAAATTATTTAAATTTTATTGTTTTATTTTCCATTAAGTAAACACGGCGACAAATCAAGCGACACACAAAGGTACTCTACCACGATATTAGTAGCTAAATCCGCATGTTTTTGGGAAGTTTGATTTGTCACAGTTTGTTTGTACCAGTTCAGAGAGAGAAAGAAAAGCCTAGTAACTATATCACTCCTTTATTACGAATACAACGGGGGAAAAAAATTGATGCGCCGTTACCTAGCGCTTAGCAATTAATTCATTTAAAAGTTTAAATTTAATTTTGTTTAGAAACTGATTAGGTTGGTAGGGTGTTATGACGAAAAATAAATTAAATGACTATGTTCTTGTGAAAAATCTTAATAATATTGTACCATTCCTGATTCTGCATTAAGTGGAGCAATTTTTAAGATCATTTGCAAATTCAGTTTTATACATTTTTTTTCACATTAGCTATTCAAAGTTAACGTTTAACTTTTTACAAGGTATTCCAAATTAATAACTTTTTTCACATTTTATGACAATTATCAGATAAAATATTAGTTGCAGTACCTGGAAAAACTATTCAGGTTACCTGAAAAATTAAAACAACTACTATCTGGAGCTAACCCTGGCAATAGTAGCAAAAAACTCAACATAAAGTAGAGTTATTCCAAAAAAATAAAAAAGTGCAAATATCTCGAAAACTAAAAGACTTTTACTAAGGTCAAATTATTTTTTTTCTGGTAGGTATATAGCTCACCTACCCACAGTGTCGCTCTGGCGTGTTATTTTTGGGACACCCTGTATATATATTGAATTGAAATGAATATGTCTCCTCTTTGTGTTTTTCATTAACACCGTTCTAAATACAGTGTATGGATGTATGTATGTATGAACTTAAAAAATTGACAATTTAAATGAACTTGTGCTCAATAATTATATGAATAGTGGGTCGTGCCTGATTCCAAAGAAACAAATTCGGCTATTTATTCCATAAGCATGACCAATATTCAGTCGATAGTCGATAGAATATTTATCGACTGCAATCACTAGCTGCTCGCAACAGGGCAACACTTTTGCGCAATGAACTGTCAATTTACTCCGTCTTCAAAAAATACAGAATATAGCCTCCTCCACTAACTTACGGTTCATAGTTAGCTCCTTGACCTCCTTATAATTGATCCCTTTGATCTTCTTTATTTATATACAATACGGTAAGTAAACTAAAAAGCAACCACTAACGTTTGCTGCGTTCGTTGGTATTAATTCTATTATTTCCTTGCGTTATTGGATGGAGCCAGTAAGAGTATTTTAATTATGTTTTTGTAAGTTTTTGCTTCTGCAATTTCTTATTTTGCACCTCAGATGTGTATCATTTATTTGTAAATATTCATTAGTTACTTTCCCATAATGGTGTGTTTGGATTTCCAATTGGTTTCCAATTAATAGCAATCGTATTTCATTACTCGACAAATAAATTATCATACAAGACAAAGTCGAAAGCAACTTATTAGATTTACAGCCATTGTGTTGTGTTGCTTATATATTCTTTTGGCAGGGAGCTAGATAAAAGACTGTAAACTTTTAACCCTTTAAACCGTTGATTGGTATCGCCAACCAAATATGATATGATAGAAAAAACTTTGGCAGTATTTTACCTAATAATTCTGTATATATGTGAATAACGAAAAATATTCAATCATTTTTGAGATTTTTCATACAAAATGTTATATGATCAAGGAATTATTGTATCATGTCTCAAATATAAAAGAGTGTGTACCGCATTTACTTTTGTTTGTAATTAAACGCCCCATTTACAACGATTTCTACACAAATTGTGGCGCAGAACGCGACTGTGGTCCTGAATAGTAGAAAATTATTATTACAATAAATATTAGGTCCTTCTGTTCCAGATCCGCCAGTATCATGAGCTCAAAGTCAGCACCAGGCATCATTATGGCAACAGGAGTTATGGGAAAATCTCTTAAAGGCATTCCAGGAGTATACATCAGTCGGGACGCAGGTCTTACTTGGAAGAGGATTCTCAAAGACTATTATTTCTTTAACTATGGAGACCATGGAGGCGTCTTAGTGGCTGTGAAGTATTTCAAGTCTCGTGGAGAAACTCGGAAGATATTGTATTCAACTAATGAGGGTATCGAATGGAATTCATACCAGTAAGAGCCTTTTTTACATCACTTTTGTCTAAATTTTTCATTCACAATCAATTATTTTTATTTACTAATTAAACTCCATTACTATTTTACAGTCAATAGAAAACATAAATTAGGTGTTATTGGTGTCCGTGGTTATTATACCATTAGTGATAAGAATAATTATGTGTTCGATATTACGCATTTTTTTCAATTTAAACGAGAGGTTTTTCCTTAATATACAGTATAGTCAGTACTTCGAATTTTGTGTTCTCATTCATGTATCAAAGACAGACCGCATTTAATTATAAGAAACAAACGACAAGGTCTAACAAACAATTATTGTTGTAGGTTCCATGCCGATGACCTTAGGATATACGGCTTAATGACGGAGCCCGGAGAAAACACAACCACCTTTACTATGTTCGGATCGGCCAACGACCAGCACCAGTGGATCATTATCACTATAGATCTCTTCAATACTTTTGCGAGGAATTGTACTCAAGAAGACTATAAATTCTGGTCACCCTCACCACCCAATTCTACAGTATCTTGCGTTTTAGGCCAAAGAGACACTTTCCAAAGACGTCTAGCTCATACCAATTGTTATAATGGAATCACATATGAGAGACCAGTTAAGAAACAAGTCTGTGAATGTAGTAGACGAGATTTTGAATGCGATTTCGGTTTCATGCTCTCTGGGAACGAATGTATTCGTAACAAGAGTGTTAAATTCGATCCTTATGCGATTCCGGCTGAATGCGTACCTGGCGTTTTCTACAAGCGGACTAAAGGATACAGAAAAATTGACGGTGATGTGTGTGTTACCTCAGGCTATCTGCCATACGCCTCAGACATGATTCCGTGCCCTATCGACGAACCGCAAGAATTTCTTATAGTTGCTTTGAGAGATAAAATAGCACGTATAGATTTATCCGATAATTCTACAATATTTCCGGTTAAGGGACAGAAGAATATTGTCGCTATTGAGTTTGATATGAAGAATAATTGCATATATTGGGCTGATATAGAGTTAGATAAGATAAGTCGGCAGTGTTTTAATAACGGAACAATTCAAGAAGTCGTCGTTGATACCGACTTAGCGAGTATTGAAGGTATGGCTTTGGATTGGATATCTAATGTCTTGTATTTCGTGGACGGTTTGAGGAAGAAAATTGAGGCTGTTCGAACTGATTTGTTGATGTCGGGTAGGATGCGGGCTACAATTTTGGACTACAAAGTCCTTTCTAAACCACGAGGTATCACTGTTCATCCGAAAGCCGGATATTTGTTCTGGACGGACTGGGATAGGAATAACCCATCCGTTTCAAGGTCAAACCTAGATGGCACTGATGTTAAGGTACTTTTCACAAAACCGATAGTTCAGTGGCCTAACGGAATAACCATTGATCAAATGTCTGAAAGAATTTACTGGGTAGATGCTATGGAAGACTACATCGCCAGCGCTGATCTGAATGGTCAGTACTTTAAAAAGATTCTAGTGAATGATGAGAGAGTATCTCATCCTTTCGCTGTAGCAGTTTTGAAAGATAAAATGTATTGGGATGATTGGAAAGAGAAGTCCATATTTATATCTGACAAAGACACAGGAACTAATATTATAACGATCAACGATTCCTTCTCTGGACTTATGGATTTGAAAGTGTTTGCTCATTTCATTCAACACGGTAGTAATGCGTGCTCGTACAAAAATACTAGCTGTGATACTTTGTGCCTTGGGAGGCCGAATAACGGCTTCAGTTGCCTGTGTCCTGATGGATTCGTCAAGAATAGTAATGGAAAGTGCATGTGCCCGAATGGTATGGAGCCAGCGCAGAATATGACATGCCCTAAGAAATCCGGTTCTGCTACTTGTGACCCTGTAAGGACTTACTCTTTTGTTTTCTTTTGCACTTGTTTCTGATTATTGGTGCTCCTTTACTTATTAACTTAACGTATGAAGCAGAGAACAAACGGATGTCAAATAATAAAATCGCATTTGCATTGGGTGCAGTATTAACGAGTGCCGAAATAAATATAGATTTTTTTTGCAAATGATAATATTTTTTTACGTCTAAATCGCGTATACCTACATATATTTTTTCAAACAAACCAATGTTTCGCTCCCTGTACAGGTCGTGGTTGAATGACCATGGAACCTTTAAAGGGCATGGAACATTGGTTTGTTTAAAACTGTATACGAGATTTAAATTTTTTTTAAATAGTTTCATTTCGGATATGTAAAAATCGCGAAAATCTAAGAACTCGTTACCTTTTACTCTTCTACAGGATCAATTCACTTGTAAGAACGGAATGTGTATAGCAAAGAACTGGCGATGCGATGGTAACAACGACTGTGGTGACTTGTCAGATGAAGTGGGATGCCAATGTACACCGCCCATGATCCCTTGTGATGACAACCGTTGCTATTTGCCTCGCTGGCGTTGTGACGGCGACATTGACTGTGCTGATATGAGCGATGAGAAAGGTAGGCATTACGTGCACTTATTTATTCATACTTAGTTAAGTAAACTAGTATGTGTGTATTTCTTAATAAAATATTTGTTATTAATGCTTGACATGTCGTTCTGCATTTACATGTCCGACTAAGAAACAATAAAGTGTAATGTGAGTGAAGAAACTTTCATAAGTTTAACACAGGTGGCGCTGACGGCAAGATAGTCGTTTAAACCCAATACAACAGGCACGTATAAAGGAATTCGTAATGTCTCAATATGTAGCTCAGTTGGTATGAGCGGTGGCCCCGGTGTGGCAACAGACGCTGGTTCGAGTGTAGTCAGATCAAAGGATTTTTTCTTTGTTTTGTTCTATCTTTGTATCAACAATATAATAACAATAAGATGCGTAAATTGAAACAACGGACTCTTACTCTTATCTTATTGTATATTTTAAATTTGCCTATTTCATATTATGAATAATTTATATGATATGAATATAATAATTTATGTAATAATTTACGTGTTATGAATATAATAATTTATCTTACGTTGTGTAGCTTTCTTCTTTAAACAGCTTGGGTCCACAATAAGGCATACGATATCACAGTTATTTGGTGTTAAGTGTTTTATGTCATTTACACAGCGTGCATGTTTGCGACTAAAAAAATGATAGTTTGTATAGTTTTACCTGTCGCTGTGTGTACCTGACTCTACATTTTATATACTTTAAACAACTTATGGCTTGAGAAATTATTTGTTTTCCTTTGTTTTCCTATTGTTTAAAAAGAAAATATTAGTAGTTATTATTTTAGATATGAACGGATTTAGGAAATGAAACTATTTTTCCGGATTTAAATCGCGTATATTTGTTTTTTCAAACAAACCGACGTTTCGGGCCCTTTACAGGTCCCATGGTCACGGTTGACTGAGGTGGTACAGTCTTCAACCAGTTATGTCTAATATTAATGCAAACCACCCTATTTTTTCACTATAGTTACAATAGTTATTAATTAAATACCTTATTTTTAATTTTACAAAGAAAACATTCCAATTTACGCTACATTAAGTTTTACAAATTATTTTATTGAATGAATTTTTATTAGGTTTAATTTATTGTTAATTATTAATAGAAATTAGAATAAACTAAAACATATTAATTAGTACTGCAGTCTTATGTCTGTTTGGGATTTTTCATTAGAGGAAATACTGGATCCCAAACTGGTGGTACGGAGAAACCATCTTCCCTGTTGAAATTAGGATGTTTTTTAATTTCAATGGCCTCTCGCAGCATCCTGGGTAGATAACGGACTTCTTTTGCAAGGACCTGGGGTTTGTCAAACTTCATTGAATGTGTAGGTTTATCCATGACATGCTCGCAGACTGCAGACTTGTTTACGCGACGGTGTTTGACATCAGCTATATGTTCTTTGACGCGGGTACAAATACTTCGCTTTGTTTGTCCAATATAAGAGAGACCGCACTCACAGTCAAGCTTGTAAACTCCTGCATCCTGTAAGGGGATGTTACATTTCACGGGTCTCAGGAACTGAGAAATCTTCCTCAGGGGCTTGAAATAGGTCTTGATAGATGCACGCCTGAGGACTCTTCCGATCTTGTCTGTAACACCTCTCACGTAAGGTAAGATGGCAGGTCTTCGCTCGACTGTAGGTGGTTTCACACGGGGTCTGCGGCGTTGGCGTGGAATCCTCAACTTATTCGCATGTAGGACTTGCTTTATATGCTGAAGTTCCCCCGCCAGATGATTACTGTCGCAGACACCATATGCTCTCTGAAACAAAGATTTGCCCACGGTAGCTAACTGGCTAGGATGGTGATGGGAATTACCATTGAGGTACCTATCTGTATGGGTTTTCTTTCGAAATACAGTATGGCCTAGGGTGTTATTAGGATTTCTTTTAATTAAAACATCTAAGAAAGCTAAAGTACCACAATTCTCTTGTTCCATAGTAAATTGGATCTTAGTACTAAAAGAATTAAGATGGTCCAAGAAAGAAGGTATGCTATCTTTAGGTAATATTGTGAAAGTATCATCAACGTACCGTTTGAAAATCTTCGGCCTAGCTGGGGCCATGGGTAAAACTCGCTCCTCGAAGTCTTCCATGAAAATATCGGCAACAACGGGAGATACCGGGGAGCCCATCGCTATACCGTCAATTTGTAGGTAGAATTCATTATTCCACAATAGATAGCCTGATGTTAGGCAGTGTTCTAATAATTCTACATATTCAATGGACATATTATGTTCCCTTAGCTTCCTACGTACAATCTCAATGCAGTCTTTTACTGGTAGGTTGGTAAACAGCGACTGAACATCAAAACTGACCATGGTGTCATCATCAGTTAACCGTAGATCTTTGATTCCACTGATGAAATGGTATGAATCCTTCACATGTGTGGAAGTATTCCCTCTCAATGGTGACAGTACCTTTGCCATGTGTTGAGCCAGTTTGTAGGTTGGTGTGTCAATCTGGCTAACTATGGGACGGAGTGGGGTGTCAGCCTTATGTATTTTTGGTAACCCATACAGTTTTGGTGGTTTCACGGCGCAGGGCACAAACGCACTTACATCAAGTTTCAGCGTATCGGAGTGCTTAGATATTAAGTTAGTTGTTGTTTTTAATATCTTGGTGGTAGGGTCTTTCTTCACCTTTTTATACGTGCTTTCATCCGATAGTAAGTCAGTTATTTTGCTGTTATAATCTGACGTATTCATGACCACCGTCGCGTTACCTTTATCTGCACGGAGGATGACTAATTCAGGATCTTCGCGGAAGGTCTTCAGCGCGTTATATTCATCTCGAGTAAGATTCGGTCTGGGCTGTTTATTTGAACGCAATATTGACGAAACGTCTTGGCGTATTGCCTCCAAATCTTCCTTTCTTATGTTGTTTTTAACTAGACAATCCTCAACGTTACAAATAATTTCTTCGTATGGAACACGACGAGGAGCCACTGCGTAATTCAAACCCTTTTGCAAAACTGAAAAAGCAGACTGATCTAACGTTTTGTTCGATAAGTTTATTACAGATTGAGTTTGTGTTTGATCATTTGACAGTGACGTTGACGTTTCGTTACTTGTGCACTTCAGTTTAAGTTTATTAAATTTTTCAATCTGTGTTTTTTGGGATTGTTGAAATTTAAATTCCGATTTAAATCCGGAAAAATAGTTTCATTTCCTATGTGTAACAATCGCGAAAACCTAAGAACTCGATATATGAACGGATTTGTTTTATGTAGATTGCGGCAGCGCTAACTGCACTGAAAACCAATTCCAATGCGGCAACGGTCAATGTATCGAGAAGAAATGGGTGTGCGATGGAGACGCCGACTGCAAGGATGGTTCAGATGAACGCAACTGCACTGTGAGTACAGCTAACAATCTAATTCTTTATTTCATTTTGTTGTTCATTCTCGATAGTCTGAAATAAGTGCAGATATCCATGGGCGACGTTGACCACCTCCAATGAAGTGGCTTGTGTGCTTGTTTTATTTTATTTTTTTTTTCTTTCTATTTGTCAAGCGGCAGCGCGATCAAACTCGGACCACGGCGGGATGAGGCGAGTGGCGCGAGGGGAAATCAAGGGGGGAAGTCATTCGACGATATAACTTGCTACAATACACTTTGTTTTTTTTTTTATAATTTTTAAAATAAATACATTAATGTCAAAGTAATCAAAATAATTCATTGAAGATTTCATTATAATTCCCAATCAAAGTAACGGAAGGAAAACCTGTCTGGCTGCTTACGGACAAGCATCAACACTACTTTTTATACATATATATAGAAGATACTTGGGAAGAAAGAAAGACAAGCAGCAAATTTTAAATTCGTAGATAAATGTGTTTAAATATTTTTTTAGGGTTTTCTGATAAAAGGAATAGTTAAAATATGCACATTTGATATTAAGTTGTTTATTTATGTTATACATATATTGCCACATGTTTTATACAGAAACTTTCATTGTATTTTAATCAAGCTGTTTTCAAAAATACTTTCATTTTCTCTTTTAACTTGTACAAAAAAAATTATAACTGCAACTTGACTCATGAATAGAAATGCACCATTCCTTACATTACTAAGTTTTTACTTAGACGTTATTTGGTAATAGTGTTTATAACGTAATAAACGTCAAATATGACTATTTGTAGTAAAAAATCTGATTATTGAAATGAGTTATGCCCTTTAAGTTTCCTGAATATTGAGACATATTTACACAAAAAATAGATTGGCCTCTATTTTCCGATTCCGAATATGTATGTTGCTCAAATTTGATAAAAATGGTAGATGTGCTTTTGTCGTTCCGAGGGCAGATTTACCATAACCAGTTCCTTATCTTTGTCATAATTATGCCCTAGGTTCATCCAAAACGACCAGACACAGTCAACTGCTCAGTTCACGGTTTTGCGTGCGGAAACGACTCTAACGCCCTCTGTATACCGAGTTCGTGGGTTTGTGACGGCGAGAGAGATTGTCCAGGCGGCGATGACGAAAAAGCGGAAAAATGCAAGAATTCTGTGTGTGCGGCTGGCATGTTTAGATGTCCTAGTGGAAAATGCATATTCAGCTCTTGGGTAAGTTTTTTAAAGTTTCGGAAAGAAAGTATTTTTGTGCGATAAAAATCAAATATCTCTGAGGTGCACTCAACTTACGTCAAATTGAAGATGTCTGATTGGATACTTGCAGTTACTAATAGCCATGTTCTCTAAGGAAAGTGACAGCGGTACTAGCCTTTCTTTTAACGAGTTCTCTACTAGATGATGTTTATTACTCATTAACGTTGGTCAAAATCATGTGGTTATAAAAACAGTAGCTTACCACCAAATAACATTAAGATTGCTGGTCGTAGAATAAACGTCACAGGAATACTACATTTTATTGCTGGAAAAACCGCTTTCAGAGGGTTATAAATAATGTATTAGACAACATCATATATACGTACGTACGTTGCTCTGATCCCAAAGTAAGTAGCAAAAGCACTTGTGTTATGGAATTCGGAAACAACGACGGTACCACAAACACTCAGACCCGAGACAATATAGAAAAGTTAGTTTTTCTACACAGACCCGGCCGGGGATCGAACCCTTGACTCAGAGGTGGTGACACCATGAAAACCGGTGTACAAGCCACTCGTCCACGGAGACCGTCAAATGTTATAGATCTCGTTATAGATGTCAATTACGTTAGTTCACATAACTACTAATATGGAAAAAAGAAAAATTAGTTGTTTTCTCCAAATGTATGCAAATACGTCGTGGGTTAGAAGAGTGTCAAGGTTTATAGTAATTTATTTATCGTTTTAGTAAAACAAATATACTATTTCTCAATCAGGTGTGTGACGGCGAGAACGACTGCGGCGACGACGAATTATCCGATGAAAGAGACTGCGCAGCACATCCGAACTTTTCGAAAATCCTACCTTCAGTTAAAACAGAAAAACCTGTGGAGTTCTCCAATAACGCCACTTGTCTAGACTGGATGTTCAAATGCGATAATGGCAACTGTCTACCGTATTGGTGGAGATGTGACAGCATCAATGATTGTGGTGATAATTCAGATGAAGTTGGTTGCGGCATCGACCCTGAAACCAGCTCTGTGTCGCCGGAACATGACGGTACGAAGCGGACGTGCGGTAAAAACCAGTTTACTTGTTTACCTGGTATGTACTACATTTTTAGATACTTTGATTAAAACTGTAAAACAGTTTAGTTAAAGAGTGTAGTTTGTATTTATTTATCCCCACTGCTGAGCACAAGCCTCATCTAACAATGAAAGAGCTCGTGTCGTGGTTCCATGTAAGCATAATGCAACCAAAAAACACATGGTAAATTTGAACCCACTTTGAACCCACTACCTTGAAAGGCGGTAGCTCAAACCATTAGGCTACCACGGCTAGATTGTACTTACATTGTTAACTAAATTGACTATTTGTTGTTACAGTTGTGTATTTAACTGAAAAATGTTAACAATATAATATGAATTGAAATTATTTTACTGATCTCTTTTGTAGCTACAAGAGATTGTTAAGATCGTAAGATAAAAGATTTTTTTCCAACAGGAGTTTGTATACCTCTACAATGGGTATGCGACACAGCGGAAGACTGCGCTGACGGGTTGGACGAGCGTGGTTGCCACGACCACATCATCGCCGGCGGCCATGTTTGCGCCGCGGATGAGACTCAATGTTCGGATGGCCAAATGTGCATATTGAATTCGAAACTGTGTGATGGGAAGATCGATTGTCCGGATGCCAGTGACGAGTTGCGCTGCAGAGGATCTAGTGTAAGTTCTATTTAAGTTTCCAGATCGATTGGATGTTTTATCATTGTCACGTTCTGTCTCCATGGATCTGCAGATTAATTGACCACAAAGTCAGTCTCACTCGACTGACAGCAATTCATTCAGACAATTGATAACTAAGTCAGATCTTATTAAACCACTGATTCGACAGCACCAGACGACTTTTACGATGCACAGAGACCGTACAGAGACATATTTGTGCTTCTATAATAATAATTTGTGCTTCAATGGGTGTCACGCGTGTCACACTGCGGTCCACCAACTAAAACGCAGTTCAGTGACAAATGGTCAAATATCCGTTTTGAATAGCTAAAAATAGTGCACAAAATTATCTTTAAAAATAGTTAATTAGTTAACGTACTCGACTTATCGGAACTTACCCTAACGATGCTTAGCTGAAATATCGTTAAACAATTTCAATATTCTAAAACTGTGTTATGGTTTTTTATGACTCTCAAAAAAATATTTTGTCACTTAGCCGCTTATTAGCACTTCCACTAAACTTAAATCAGTCTTAAGCTAATGCTTGCAATGCAAAAGACACCCTTAACACGCTGTGGTAAGAGTGTCTTATCAATTTCATCATTTATTGGTTTAAGACGTACTAAAGTTTAGTTTAAGTGGACTATATTCTTCGGTTCTTATCATATTTTTGCTTACAAATGTATTCTATAGTTAATCGTTCGTTAGTCCTGACTGAATACTAGCACCTTAGGTAATCTAGGCACCTGCTGAATCACCACTCTTTTATTGTTATGACAAAAATGTTACGTTTACTTCTGTGTGCGGGTTCTCACCTATGGCTGGTGGATATGGCGAAATGAAAGATTTGAAGGGCTTGCTTGCTCCTTCAGAAATGGATGTTTTATCGTTGATCGTTAATTTCAGACTGAGATTTTTCATTGCGAATGACGCCACTTTATAAGTGCGCGAGTGCTCTCAAATGTATGTATTTTAGCCAGTGAGCATCTTGTGTCCTTTCCATCTACTGCATCCCCTAAAAAGGATAATGCCTTTATTTCAGAAATTTAAATAACAGTTAGATACTTATGGAATTTATACAGAAATTAGTAACTTAGTAACTATCGTTTAAACGCAGAGTTATTAAATTAATCGTGATTATGACTAATATCGAGTGCAGCCTTCTCCTGTATTTCCAGCTTCTGTGTTCATCATCAATTCATCTATTTGACAGTGTTCTATGGAGGTCTCCATAGAACACTGTCAAATAGATGAATTGCGTTTTTTGTTTTGTTTGAAAATTCTTAATGTGATATGTCAATGAACCATATTATGATTCTACCAATGCGGCCTTTTTAGCCCTGCAGAGCATCGAAATTGCCTTTTTAAATTAATTGTTATTTGTTTATGCTTCATTTTTATGTCATAATTTGTTTTTTAATTTCACAATTTTGTTCATAGACCCACAAGATAGTAGTTGACTGTCGTCGCGGTTACTTCATGTGCGACGATGGAACACAGTGCATCCCGCAAAATTTCGTTTGCAACGGTCACCAGGATTGTTATGACGGCACCGACGAGGTCAACTGCACCAGCACCAATGATACAAATAGAATTTATCAGGTTTGTGAATGCAAATCAATAACAAAAGTATTTTCGAGTTCAATTTATTGATTGCACACTGGAATCAGATTTATATCAGTTCCAAAATTAAATTTTCAGCTTCTCTGTGACCAATTACAAAATATCTTCTTATAAATACTTAGCGATGAAAGACCTAAAAGCTTAAAAATTATCCGAGTTTGGAAAACTATATTCTTGCCGTATTACTATCTAAAGTTTAGTATGTGAAGTTTTTCGCTTAACAGACAGCACATCATACCAGCACATCGTAACTACAAATAAAATACATACATCTCATAATTCAAGTATTATCTGCGCCACCTTGACCGAATAGCGATTTAACATCTAAACCTTTAGGTAAATTTTGAATTGCTATAGCGAATTGACGAGTGAGAAAATTTAAAAGTTAAATAATGAACTACAACGAAACAGGTTAATAGTGCAATCGTCAATATTCATAATTCTCGAGTGGCTCCGAATATTTGACATAAAAAGTATTATCGTACGATATCGATCGGTGTGAAGAGTCCGAGCAATTTAATTTTAAACCTTGAAATGGTTAATGTAATGTGCGCCTGACAACCACACCAATTACCTGATCTCAATCTAGAGAATTCCTTGTGCTATGAGTACCAGAGCAACGGAATTCACCCCCGGGGCATTGCCCAGAACACCCCTACCAGAGCTAATTTTGAAATTTCATTTCCCACATTGGTCCTACCGGGAATCGAACTGGGACCTCTTATTTCAGCGCCCACAAACCGCTAAGCCACTGAGGCCGTCAACGGTTACACTAGTTTGGACTTTTGACATCATTATAACACAAGAATTACATGAAACAGGTTTAATCTTTTATTAGTAGACAATTAGTTAAATATACAGTAATAAAAGCTTAATTACTAGAAACCAAAGAAATAATTTCTTTGAATTCTGCTATGGGGTGGAGGTAAACATCTAATAATTTGGTCTGTAAAAAGCAATATTTTATTTTAGTTCCTGAGCGTTGGTGTAGACCAATCGTCAATAAATTCCACGAGTTTCTTGATCTCATGCTGGATGGCTCAGCAGAAGATGGTGCAGTATCGATTCCTGCCGTCCATTGCGAAGGTCAGCGACGGTGTTTGGAAGAATATGACTTGGACTAATGATAGTATTTACAGGTAAGATTTTATGGTACTATATTGTATGATTATATGATTGTATGTATGATATGATTGTATGGTCTGTCCTTTTTTAAGATGAAGTAAAATAAAGTTCATTGCGCAATAGTGTTACTCGCTTGCGTGCAGCTAGTGATTGCAGTCGACAAATATTTTATTGACTATCGACTGAATGTTGGTTACGCTTATGCAGTACTATATATATAATAATAACTTGGAAAAATTGCTGTAGTAAAGTGTAAAAACAGGATTTTGTATCATATTTTCACTGAACTAAAAAAATATATTTTGTTATCATAGTTATAATTTGTAAATGTTATTTGTTTAGTTGTATAGTATTTATATATAAATAAATCGTAAATATAAATTACAAAAGCAAACAAAATAATTAAATAGCTAACTGTCCTTTTTCTACACATTGCATGCGCAAAAGATGGAAAGAGACCCACTAGGTCAGTTTCAAGAAGCTTATATAAACTTCTTGGCCATTTTCAATTGCTCGAACCACAAGCGATTGAAATATTTAGAACAAAGAAACTGTAGAGTTGCTTTGATTTTAATCCTATTTTTAAAATGATTTTTTTATTAAACGTTAGCAATAACCAACAAAATATTGTTGTACTCGTTTTACAGCATGGGATTACCTATCGGAAGTCAGAAAATACATTTGTCCGAAATAACATTAGCTCGAATTTTCATAATATGTTTTTACGAAGATTACAAAACAAAAGCTAATTTTGTCTATGTAAAAAGTATCAAAATTACTCGAAAGCGTAACGGTTTTGTTATAAATCGGAATTACGGATATTTGAGTTTACGAGTTTATATTTCTTATAGTACACGCATATTTTTACATTTATAATATTTGTTTGTATGTATCTGCCCAACTCTTTATTATTTCTTAAAGTGAATTTGTACAAAATTGGACATAATAATATTTATAAAAAATTATTAATATTGTAAATATAAAGGCTGCTCCATTATTCTTGTGTGCAAGAAATTTTCACTCGAACCGAAATATGGTACATTTTGTTAAGTTTCCAGTAGAAGCTGAATATGGCGTTTTTGGGCCCTTAAATTGTTGCAAGCAAAATTAGGCAGTACTGCAATGACGTTACAATTTAATTTAAATGTTTTAGTTTTTTTTATTTTTCCTTATATGTTACGAAAACTACTAGTAGTAGTAGTGTCGTTTGTATAGGTTAACTTCGGACTTTTTTTTCGTGGTTTTTGTATTAGACCCGACGTCCGTTTGTTGGTAGGTCAATGAATGATATTTAGCCAAAAAAAATTAAGAGTTTGTTCAATTGCAATTCCATGAAATAATTTTTACTTCCTAAAGAGATGCTAACATCCCGAAAATACATTCTTCTATAAATACGTGTTTACCCGGTTTAATTTATATTATTGGTTATGGATATACTTTTTTAATTCTCAATTTTAATGAAAATTACTACTGTTCAGCGATGCGTGCGAATGACGCGACGTTTTGACAATTTTTTTTATTGATTATTTACAAAACTTAAAATAATTTCCCTGACCAATACCCATATGCAACCGCCCCCTCCACTTGGTGTCATATTATATCATTTTAAGAGTATTTATTTCAATATCATTATATAACTATGTATAATAATGATTGATTACAAGTAAATTTTGATATTTTTTAAGAGTTCCTTTCTTGTCTCTCATAATAACTGATCTGTGGCCAAACGGTTATTAATTTAGATAATAATTTGTCCTCAGATTCACGGGTCTAGAGCCATTTACGAACTACAATGTGACGTTCTACATACAAGACAGTAAATCAAATAAGATCTATCCTTCTATGAAATATGTCAACACCACCACTGGCGAAGGAGGTAAGAGATAAAACATACGAATAATATCGAACTCTTATCGGGATTGTTACATGTAGGAAATGAAACTATTTTTTTGTATGTAATTTACTTTTTATTAAAGACCAACTTTTGCTGTACCAATTTTATTCTTCCGATATAATGAAATCATCGTTATTAGAAATGGACTGTATTAGCATAAAAAAAATTGTCAATTTTATGCTTTTGTTATGGAAAAATATTTTATGATACTTGACCAACCTCTACAGCCTCGATTTTTTTGTCTCTTACAATAAAGGGATCCCTACATGAGTCGATTAGCTAAAAAAATTTTCATGGACAATTCACGCGTGAACACAAAATGACTATGCCAAAATAGTTTTCACAAAAATTTCCATTCAATTCAATTCAATGGTGCCTAAGACAGACAGATTCCTTGTATCTTCTATAGTTCCGAAAGTAAAAAAAACTACTAAAATGGGACAGTATGGGGAAATTTCCCCATACTGTCCCATTTAAAAAAACTGTATAAGCAACACTGTATAACCCAACAAACAATGAGTGCAGGTCTATTAAAAATTCCTTCTGTATTGCAATCATTACATTTTTGTTATAAATTTCTTAAGAAAAAACTTTACAAACCCTGCGTCTTTGTTTATCTCACTAATGTAAAAAAAAGAAGTATAGGTACTTCTATGTGTATGTTTGAATTCAAACAAATACCCGTAAATACTCCAGCACGTACGCACAATTATGTGTGTATGTTACAATGTGAATCTACAGTAATAACTACATTTGAATCAGTTAATGTTTTTTAACTTGTCTGCTGAGGGGAGGACCAACTTCCATAACACATATTTAACTTAACTAATTAATTTGTCTAAATGACTGTCGTATGACCACGTATGTACCTAGATTAAGTGTTGCACCCTTTTCAAGAAATAAATTGTATTATAATATATACACCATTTTAACCCATTAACTTATGTTTTTCTTGTATCAGTACCATCACCTCCACTACACATCGGCGTTCGTCAAATGATCGGCAGTCAAGTGGACGTACTCTGGGACCCACCGGCCGAACCTCGCGGCATCATCAAGTCTTACACCGTTCACTACTCGCCACCTCTCCCGCCCAACACTAAAAGCGTCTCTGCACCGAAGACTGGACCCAATAAGTTCAAATCTCTTATCGTGTCTGGATTCTTTAAGCCGGGAGTAAATTACTCTTTCTGGGTAAGTAAATTTTTGCTTTTATACTAGGGTAAGAGATAAAAGCTCTTGTAATAAAAATCTATTGACAAAATGTTGATATCTGATTGACTTTGGATTCATTAACAAAGGTATCCGAGATGTACGGAACGACATGAAGAACTTTTTATATTTTTAAGCCAGATTATATTCGTCTTCAATATTGTTTGAAATGTATTATGTGTGCGAACTCGTTAATTGAATCCCAATATTCGATTTTCTCTGACACAGAGATACAGTAGAAATACACTATAGGACCAATTTACATATTTGTTATAAGGTTTGTTAATTACAAAGAAGTACAGTTAAGTCGGGTACCTTTGGAACTTGTCACTTTTTACGGATATTAAAATAAAAATGTATTGGTCCAGACGGGTTTTATTGATTTATAATAATTGAACTAATTTGATGAATTAGAAAAAAACACTGTTTGAGAAGGGCCGTTCTAAGTTACTCTGACTTTGTGGGGTATCTTTGAACCGTGTTATTTTGGACAGCGAAAATCCTTTCATAGACAATTTAACTGACTGAAGAAAATACTCTTATTTTGAATGAAAAAAAACATACGTCTGTCAAACTAAATGAATTAGTAATAGTCAACAACTTGCCATTCATTTGGGGATATCATTTACCAATTAGCAGTTACCAATGGTTACAAAAAGATACTCTTTCACGCATTGCACACCGCGAATGGAAAATGGCGGCTTTAAAAAATACCTTTAAATAACTGTCATTTTACATATACAATATTTGGTCTTTCCGTTTCACGCAGTTATCAATGTATTTGATTACAAGTTTTTTGAGAAAAAAAGAATCTTCAAATCAGTGGTCATTCGATATTACAAGGAAATTCGAGGTTACCCAATATGACGGTAATAATGAATTAAATATATTTTTTGCCAAATCAGGTGACAGCACAAAACAATGCATACGAATCGGAGCCGTCGGAAGTAATGTATCTCATATTTGACGACATCAGTGACGTTGACGATTTGACTAACGTCAGCATGTCGCGACCCAACGACACAACTGTGTATCTTGAGTGGCACAGAATTAAAGGCATCGAGGGGTACTATATTCGCGTCGAACTTCCTAAGGAATACGAAAGTCCAGAAGTGATTACGACTAAAAACAATAACGTTACACGTAAGTTGCTATTTGCATTATCACTATTATAAAAGACGAATATTCTTAATCTTTTGCAGTGATGTGAATAGCTGGCTGTTTTCGTAAAAAGAAATTAATTCTTAACTGTCTCTGTGGTGTGGTGTGGTGTGGAACGGTTACCATGCTGATCTGCCACGCAGAGGTCCCGGATTCGATTCCTGGGCAGGAAGAAATATTTGTATGGCCTACATTTATTTCTCTCGTGAGTTTGGGTGTAATTTGTGGTTGTCTATGTGTGTGTCCATGGCACCCGCGAGACACGGTTTCCCTAGTGGGGGGCTATAAGTGTGCGTTATTATTAGTAAATTCAAAAATAAAAATATATATCTTTACAATTTTCGCATTTTTTTGTAATATATAACTACTTCCTTACTTACTTCAACTGTAATATCAATTTCCGTTTCAGTAACGAAACTACCTCTTGGCGTGCCAATATACATCGACATAATCGCTTACAAGGATAACTACCGCGGAAACCCATTCACAATTCCCCTACCCGTCAGAGGAATACCAGACGAAAGTATTAACATTACAGCGAAGTTGCTTAAGAGTACAGGAACTTCAGTGGAATTATCATGGTCACCTCCAACGGGTGACAGGTATAAGGACAAAGAGTTGGAGTACCAAGTTCACTATTCTGAGCTAAGGAAAATTGGCATTCTCTACACTGGTAGAAGAGATTGTGAGTAGATACATTGAAATGTACTGATATAATTGATTTCATGTTTTGACGTCAGAGATTAAAATACGAGATCGCGTATAGTAAACAAACAACGTAAACGTTTCACATTAAACACGTGAAACAGGCACCTGATGTTTCCTATTTCAGATTGACAAATAGTGCCTTTGGGACCGAAGTCGTTCTAATAGATAGACTGTACTAATAGATAGACTGTAACGTTTCTATAGGCAGTGTGCGATTGTTACACATAGGAAATGAAACTATTTTTTCGGATCTGTATTGCGTATGTTTGTTTTCTCAAACAACCAACGTTCTGACAGTCAGAAGTGACCATGGGGCCTATAAAGGTCCCGAAACGTTCGTTTGTTTCAAATACAAATATACGCGATTTAGATCCGAGAAAATAGTTTCATTTCCTATAATTTTATTTGTCCAACATATTTTTATGTTGGGCGCTTTCAAATTAGACGCTTGTTGAAGTGCTACAGTGGCGCTTTAGTAATTTTTGGTTTTAGTTAATTTTTAGTCTGCAAAAGTGGCGCGCGCATGTCGTGACAGTGGCGATGCAACTGCGCCTCTAAATATTGTATGAAAATGAGTAGTGGCGCGGCTACAGCGCTTCTACAAGAGTCTTAAGTTGAAGCCGTCCTCAGACTAATAAGTGACAACGCCAAAATTGATTACAAACATTTATTCTGGATTATCGATTTAAGCTTTGCGCAGAGCGAATATTATGAGGCTCTTAGGGTCGTATTCTAGAACTCTATTCAATGCTCAAGTCATGATTGCACTGGCAACACACGCACTGGAAATACGACCCTAATGGCAGGGACTTGAGTATGTATGATTTCGAGTGCTTTAAACCATACTCCTGACTTGAGCATTGAGTAGAGTTCTAGAATACGACGCTTAGTGTACTGTTACACATGATTTTTTATATTGCAGCAATGAAGTTCTATACCAAGAATACATCAGCGCTGATTGAAGGTCTAAAGGCGTGTGAGAGCTACATGTTCACGGCGGGCTTACGTAATGGCCCACTTGCTTTACCGATAGAAATAGTTACTCGCGAAAATCCTGCGTAAGTATCTATTGATGATATAAGTATCGTTATGACGGTAATTAGTTTCTGCTTTCGTGTAAAAGATTTTGTACATTTGTGTTGTGTTCTTTACTAAAATGTTAATGTGGTATGATCAGTCCTAGGCTTCGAATCCGGCGGTAACGGGGCAGAATAGCTGCTCTCTTTATGTCTGTTCACTTCTTAGTATCGAAATATGGAAAAAGTCCGAAAAAAATATTCCGCATTTTATAAAATGAACTTTTGTAATCAGCTATATTATTTTAGGACGAATGAGCGGGCTTTTATACCTAAATTTTCTTAGTCGCATTCTCCATCGCCACTGGACTAAACATTTTCACAATGGGTGATTTTTAACAATGGACCATCGCTTTGTTACGCGTTAAAAACAGGAGAATATTAAGTGTACCTTTCATACATTCGCTTAGAACTTTACCTCGTTACTCCTAACGTCTCTAGTACGTTTGTGTATATGCGGCTTTTAGGCCCACAGCCGGTACATTGACTGAAGAGGGAATTGCACGATTTAATTACTGTAGTTCGTTTTTTCTTCGTCGTAAAATTGATGACTGCTGCTAATGACATTTATTAAAGACACGATAATATATGTTATCTTCATCGTAAAATTGATGACTGATGCTAATGACATTTATTAATGATACGATAATATATGTTATTATTTTACAAAGTTTCCATTTTTGTGATGGATTACATACATGCATAGTATACAGGGTGTAAATTTGAGACGGGGCAGCAAGCAATTACTAAGTATGTCCATACAAAATGTATGGTAAAAAAAAGTTTTTTGCGATTTCTGACATTTCGAGTACTCTTACCTCAGTCCCATAGAGACTATTGATCCTTACCAGAGACCAGTTTGAACGGCATAAAAAAGTTTTGTATAAATTGCCTTTTATCTTGCTGACTACCATTTTTTCAAAATCTGTGAATGCACATCAATAATATCTTCAAAATTCATGGATAGTCTTCTATTACTGTTTTCCTGTAACTACAACGATTAAGGTAGCCGGCCTTGCTGCCCCGTCTCAAATTTACACCCTGTATGAACATGGAATAGCATAAAAATAGAGAAAGTGTTCATTTAATCTTTAGTGATTACTATGAGTAAAAGAAACCCTTTAATTAAATTTTAGTGATTATTCGTTTCACTGTATTTATTAAATTAAGCCTTGCTTAAAAAAAGAGGGAATGATGTGGCGCCTGATAAAAGACCCAAAATTTCCTTCTGTCTTCTGTTGTCCTTAAAAATAAAAACGAAATATAGACACTAGGCTGGGACTTCCATCGCTATGTTGTGGATATTACAAGAATTTGAAATTCCCTGCCTGCAAAATTGTTCGTTAACGTTATAACTTTTCAAGGCGTGAGTGAATGCTCTATCGTCGACCTTATCGTCACTTTCCATCAATTGAGATGGAGGTCAAATGCGCAATTATTTTTTAATAAAAAAGACTCCAAATTCTTAGCAGTATCTCTTTTGTTTTGATAGTAATGATGATGATGTGAAGACAATGAAATTATTATAATACCTAGGGTGCACTGTTTTTCATACAGCATTTACGCTGAATGTAATTTATTTCAGAGCACCAATAAAGAATTTGTACTTCGTATTCAACAAGGATAAAACGCAGATGACTATCAACTGGAACGCCAATTGCGATGTGATTCGAGAGCCTGTTACGTATATGGTATGTTTGCTTCTTTAACTTGAGTGTAGAGGGCTATGTATATTATAGCCAGATCCTGTCTCCGTTAAGAAAAATATATTTTCCAGCAAAGTGACTCATGGTATATTACATGTTATCTAGCCTAACTAGTTTTAGATAACTTGCGCATAGATTCTTAAAGTAAAATCATTTTACAGATGAAAATCACAGAAGAAACTCGAAACAAAACGAGTTATTATTCGCTGAATCCTACAGAAAACACGACTTTGAATCATATTATTTACAATGTGCCAGTTGGAGGCAGATACAATGTTTGCATCAATGTAAGTATTTACTCTTAACTAATAGATTATTTAAGTTTCTTCTTAGCAAGTATATTTTGACCATATTCTTACTGGATGGTATGATATCCTCGGACCACAGACGATCACCGTGAATTCCCTAGTTTGAAACCAGGTTATTGTGATTTGGTAGGGAAATTTACAATGCCATTTCCAAGACTAACTTTGTACTTTCATATTATGTATAACTTTCAAATTCGTTCTACAAGACAAAACTTTTCTGTAATAATTGTATTAACCTTCCTTATTAGTCTTGTTCGCCGTTTCTCCACTATTTAATTTTTTATTTTATATTATTAGGCCTACAGCTACTTTTACATAATGGATTTACATATTATGATCAATAACATGCCAATTGAAACCTTCTACATACACACATCAAAAAAAGTTTGCGATCAATAGCATAAGCTCCTATAATTCTTTAAATTTAACTTTATCAAGAAAAAATCTGTGTTGTATGCTTTCTTTAAATAGGAATACCCTGTTTGAAATTAAAATATAAAACTATTTTTTATTATTTATTTTAAAAAATTGAGCCATTAATCATAATGTAATAGTGATAGAAATTTCATAGAAAGAAAAAGACTGTTTAATTAAACTTAAACAACAATTTATTATTAAAAGGTGTGAATTCAATATAAAATAACTCCTCCCCTGGCTCGAATACATGCGAAGATCCTCCTGGGCATGCTGAGGATCAAGTTATCCAGCATTTCCTGGGGTAACCTATCCCATTCTTCAATAGCGGCCTCCCTGAGCTCTGGAACTGTCTGGGGACGTGGCTCACGGTTCCATACTGCTCGTTTAAGAGCATCCCACGCGTGCTCTATTGGGTTTAAGTCGGGCGAGCCGGCAGGCCAGTCTAATCGTGTGATATCGTATTCTTGAAGAGCAGCATTGACTCGTTGAGCTCGATGTGCGGGCGCATTATCATCGACCAGTACAAATTGGTGCCCTTGGTTTACTCGGAATGGTCTGACGATATCATCAATAGCAACTGCTTTGTACATGTCTGCTGTCATGAAGCCCCGATACGGGATCAAAGGCGTTCTAGCTCCAATCATAATGCCACCCCAAAAGGACACCGATTTTCCGCCTTGCTGAACTGTTCCAGTGGCAGTTCTTTGTCTTTCACGGTCGCCTGGTCTTCTCCAGACACGGACACGTCGGTTATCTGGATAAGTGCTGATTCGGGATTCGTCAACGAAGAGACAGTTTTGCCAAATGTTTTCGTCCTCACCTTCTTCATTTTGCCGAAGTCTAGCCCACTGCAATCTTCGTTGTTGACGTTGCCGGGAATTGAGCGGAGCTCGCCAAGACCTCCGTGCTCGTAATCCAGCCTGGTGCAAGCAATTGCGAACGGTCTGCGTGCTAACTTCAAGCCCAGAGGCGGCCCTGACTTCTGCTTTTATTTTAGTGGCGTTGATTGTTGGATCACGGGCTGCCAGCAATCTAATATAGCGCTTTTGGGCAGCTGTCAAAACAGTTGGGCGACCGCTGCGGGGTCGGTCAGCTAAATTCCCCATTCCGTGATACCTCTGTAACGTAGCCACGACACAGGATTGGGATATAGCAAGTCTGCGTGCTATTACTCTCGTGGTGTATCCTTCTTCCCTCAAAGTTACTATTCTAGCTCGTAAAACCTCTGATAATCCTCTTGGCATTTTTTCAATCACAACTTTCCGCGAAAAATATCTTGAATCGCTTATAATTGACTAAATCAGATTTCTGAATGAGCGTAAGCTAGGACTGAAAGCCTTTTTATATGAAAAAAAACAATTGAACGGGGTCATTGTTTTATATTCTAATTTATTTTTAAATAAAGAATCTAAAAAGAAGAAAAAATCATAATATAATCTACAGTAACAAAAAAGATTTCAGTTTTGCGAAGTGATCGCAAACTTTTTTTGATGTGTGTATGAACATAAGAAAATGTAGGCCTAAAACTTAACTGAGTGGGTTCCTGAGGTAGCTGCGCGGTACGGCAGGAGTGACAGTTTACGTAACATTTATGTTGCGCTGCTGTACACATGATATTTTCAATAAAATTTTTCTGACAATATTTAATAACAAGTTGATTGAAAAAAGTGCCAAATGGCTTGTCTGTTCATTTCAATTATCAATGAAATAGTTTTTTTAATTATCGTTTCACATAATAACAATTGACTAATTTAGCAGGCACTTTTTCAATCATCTTTTTATTGAATATCGTCAGAAAAACCATGTTGAAGTTATCCCGTGTAAACTGTCATTCCTCCGCACCGCGCAGCTACTTCATGAACAGACTCAGTTACAATAATCGCCATATCAGTCCTCGATAAGAAGTTATTAGTCATAATAGTTTTTATATTCTTAACAATATTGCAGATGATGTCTATGCGATCGTCATCATTGAGTTGGTTAATTAATGTTAATAATCTTGGTAGTTAACTATTAATTCTAAAATTGGTACGGCTAAATGGAACATGGAGCAACTTATCCTTACAAAATTTCCTGACTGGAATTTAGGATACAGTTTTACAAGTAGGGTATAATAAGGAATGGTCATGATTTGTTGGTCTGCTGCGTAAACATTGTGGGGCCAAGTCATCGTTTTTCGAACCGTGTATAATATAAGTATGACTTCAGGCGGATATTCCTGGTGCCGCTGTGACGTGCGAGCGCGTGCGTTCCCGCAGCATTCCGCCTCCCGACGGCGTAGTCGCGTGGCAGTTGCAAAACGGACAGGTCATGGTCGTGTGGCATCATCGCGAGGACGCCAACGTACCTGTGTGAGTATGCCCTTTATTTTTTAATACTTGTTTGGTGGTGGTCTCAAAAAGCGATTTCAGGGTTAAAGGCGGTTTTTTCTTCACTGACAGTTCGTCTTCGTAAACAAACGCCGCCACTTGTTCATCGTCTTTGTCGTCGTTAGAAAGTTTTTTTTTAAAAGAAGTTGCTCGTTCCCCGAACAGAGCTTTCCCTCTCCCTCATGTGCATTAACTCAAGTATATTTTCTTGTTACGATACGAAATTTCGTCTAACAAAAATCATTTAAAAACAGAACGAATTAAGTGTGATAGATCTATTTTTGTTGATTCCTTTTAAGGATTCATACGTTTGTTTGACATCATTGTGTATTTTGTTAACTCCGCTTAAGGTACTTACAAAATATATTATATATTCTATTACATTACTTCTTTCCGACATTGTTTTGAATTATTTTTCGCCACAGGCACAAATATGAGGTAATAGTGTCAGAGAAAGAAATCCCGGAGGACCTACTACACGTGGAAGCAGACATGCAAAGCACAATCGTCCAGAAATCACCTACTATGCTCTCGACCTATAGCACGAAGAGCCCTCTGTACGTCAGCATACGCGCTGTCACCGATGACGGATATTATAGCGATCTTAGTGAAGTTCATACATTGAAGATGGAGGGTAAGTCTATTTGGTTAATTTCATTGTAATTGTTGATTACGTTAACTTATTTAGAAAACACTGTGTAAAACACTACATGTATTGTCTCTTTGATTAAGATTGAAAGTACGTTTTTTATTACTAATTTTTGCCAACTTTACGGCCTAAGGGTTCCTACGATTCGTTAAAAATCATGATTTTTTTCGATAGGTTTGATAATTTTTATTTTGTTGCATATTAAGACATTTTTACTTTGTAAATGCTCGGTTTTTAAAGACTACATTTTGTCATTCATCAGGCGCGGAAGTAGTGGCGGCTCGGACGTCCATGGGCGCCATCTGGTGGGGCGCTGGGGCTGCTATTATAGTAGGCGTCGCTCTAGGAGGGGCGCTAGTGCATCTTGCGTTACGTCATCGACGGTTGACTCGGTCTTTCCTGCGGTTCACTTCGGCGACGCCACGATATGACAGTCGTCGTGGACAGGCTACTATCGGAGACCACGGTTAGTATTGATTTATTATTATGTAGCACCTGCTCATGTCAAATTTATTATTTATAATATAATTAGCAGATTGTAATCTATGCTGATTTTGTTGAGAACCAATTTATAAATAGTAATATCAACAGTCCAAAAATAATTGGCTGTTGAGTTTATGGGCTTAGCTAATAAATTATATGTATTGTAAGTTGACTTACAATTATATGGACGTCGGGTCCGCGCTAAAAAGTGTCCGCACTTGTAAGGCGCTAAAATTGTATACAGAGCGCGACACTCCGCTTTAGTCTTCATTTGTTCTACGGACAGCGCGATACTGCGATGACATAACAATTTAAATTTCGAATAGGTTGACTTGGGACATTTTTTTCGTGGTTTTTGTATTAGACCCGTCGTCCATTTATTTGTAAGTCAATGGTATTGTATAAATATTAGACCACATCACAAACATTGCTCTGATCCGGAAGTAGCCAAAGTAGTTGCGTTATGGAAACCGGAAACAGCGACGGTACCACAACTACGCAGACCCGAGACAATATAGAAAACTTAGTTTTCTACACTGACCCGGCTGGGGATCCAACCCGGAACCTCGGAGTGGCGACGCCATGAAAATCGGTGCGCAAAACTCGGCATAAAATTAATAAACACCACCGGCCTTGCTTCCAAAAGCCCAAAGCGAAACACGTGTCGGGTATATTTTTGGTGGTGGTGTTTGTGACTGTAGTTGCGCTTGTGTTATTAATTTTATGCGGAGCGAGGTTGGGTAAATTAACTGCATGAACAAAAATACTCAACACAAGCGTAGCTATTTTGCATGATTTAGCCTCCACTGGGTTCGCGGAGTAGCAAATTAATTTACTTCCATTTTTATTAACATGGACTGATACAAAGTAACGTCTGAATCTGTTAATTTCTCTGGGTGGCATTGCGAATGGGCAGACTTGTTCGTCCTGTCACTTGGTATCGTAAAAAAAGAACCACGGAACATTTTGTTCTTCTTGTTACCGTTAGACACGATGTACAATTTAGCAAACAAGATTGTCAAACATTTTGGTAGATGCTAGCGACTTTACTCTTTACTTTAGGTGCAGTATTCACCAACATACGCAAAAATCTTCAAAGGTATTGTTCGCATTAAAACTCTTGTTGTTTTTTTATAATATCAAGTGACGGGATGAACAAGTCGTGCGCCTAGTGGTAAGCTTCACGCCTGTCCATAACAGCTGTTGTGCCGCTTTAAATCGCTAAAGTCAGGGGCACTGCCACTGCGCCCGTCACCCTGAGACATAAGTTGACACGTCTCATGTGCCTGTAATTTCACCAGCACCCTTACCCTTCGTAACCGGAACATAGTAATGCTGACATTACTGCTTGGTGGCAGAAATAGGTAAAGTGGCAGTACTAACCTGGACGAACTCTTTCACAAGGAGCTCTACTGCTGTTGAGGAGCTCAACTGCAATAGCAGCTAGTAAGTTTACGTAAACGTCGGAGAGCATCTTGGCTCTATTTGGTGCTGCGAAGTAGTTATAGGCGGTAGTCAGCAGTCATGAATCATATTTATTATTGCACAAATTTAAAAAAACATTAATTACAGACGATGACGACGTGCCACCCATCCACGGGTTCGCCGACGACGAGCCGCTCGTGATCGCATGAGCGGCAAGCCGAGGCGCTCGCTGACCCTGCAACAATGTGATTTTACCGTGATCTTGTCATAACAATTAGTATTTTTATAATTATATTCGCGCTTGGAAGCTGGTTTACATGCTTGGCAGTTTTTACCTATGTTTTTCCTTAATTTTTGTTACGATTAAGCATCGCTTGACAGAAGAGGACAAATACTGGTGCAGCACTAGAACATTCATGTTTTAATCACTGTTGACATTGTTCTCGTTAGCGGAACCGCTACAGTGCAAATTTAAGCAGTTAAATTGTGAACCAGTTTTTAGATGTGTGTGTTAGTAAAATTTGTGCATTTTTAGTCATCGTTTGTTTTGTGGTTGTTGAAAGCGCAGTCGCATTAAAGGAACACAAAAAGAGCAAAATTATGATATGTATAAAATAACCCAGTAAATGATGACTCAGGCGACTATCACAAAACAACTTAGCGTGTAATCATACTACTACCTATTTAAAATTGCCCAGAGTATTATTATGTTACTTCGATAAGTTTCTAGTGTTGATAAATGGACTTTAATTGTCTATATTTAATTGAACATTTTTAAAGCCGCTAGGATAAAAATAAATTTATTTTTATGTTAGCGCTTTTTGTAACAAATATAAATAAAATATTGAATAAAATTTAGACAATGTAAAAGGGCTGTAATTTGTAAGACTTGTTAATTTTCTGTGAGTTCGTTTTATATTCGGTTTTTATTATTTGCTCATTACAAAATGTTGTAGATAGATTTAATACGTTTTAATACGTTTTATAACCGTAGCTATCTCATTTATTTTATACGTGTTCGACACCAAAGATTGTCGTAAGTACAATTTTTTTTTGTAAAATTCTAATGTGTGTTGAACTTTATTATATATAGAAAAAGAGGTAATAAACATAACATTTTGTGTAGAAAAACATTTTGTTAGTAGATTTCGACATTCCCCACATTGTGCATACGTTTTTTAATGTAATATTTTAGTTCCTATAAGTAATATTTAGCGCCGAGATGGTCTTTGCGATCAGTCGACATTTACTCTGTTGTATTTTAAAGTTATGAATTTTTATCGTTAAGGGGCTGGTCTCGAGACATCTAAATAGAAACATTTAAAAGCGAATAAAGTGAGATAAAAATTTAAACTATTGTTTCATTAAAATTTGCACCACTTTTGCACTTGCACTAATTGCACAAGTACATAATTATACTCCCGGACACATAATTCGAAGCACATGGCATTTTTAGTATTTAATATCCTAAGTTTAAACAGTAAAAAAAATAAATAAAAAAAAGTAAGCAACACCTCTGTCTATAGCAGTTGCAGTGCTACTCGGAGCTTTATGGCACTGCCGATATCACCCGCGGTCACCCTGAGACATAAGTTGACAAGTTCCATGTGCCTGTATTTTCACTAGCATCCTTACCATTCAAAAATAGTAATGCCCACATTACTGCCTGACGGCAGAGATAGGCAAGGGCTGTCCCCGTGCAATGCAAGGTGGATCTAAATATGTGTCCGCGAGTGTAATTGTTAAGTGAAATTACCTTTATACGTGGCTACAAATTCAAAGTACTAAGCGCACGTGCAGTCCACTCGTATACGGGTATGAGTACAACGGCGTTATCGCGCCACACTGCCACGCCGACCGCTGAGTGACGGTTGTCAACTGTGCATATTAGAGGGCCTCCAATGCCCGTCTGAAATAGAGGATTATAATCTTTGTCTATAGCAATTAATTAAAAAAATTAACAAAATTTATTTAAAAAGAAAAGCTAACCAGACCGCGCGTTGACGCTGTAGTATTTCGTCGACGTTTAACGTTATACTGTGCTTGCCTTCGCGTTACTTCCCGCGGAATAGCTTGGCGTCGCCGACGGTAGCTGCGGAATTCTCGTTAATGCGCAAGTATTCTCGAGCATGCGCGAGAATTCCGCGGAAGACGCGTGACGTGATTTTTGGCTCATATCTAGTTTTTACGTTGCACAATTGACCGTAAAGTTCATTATGCTATGTACAATATCATTACAAAAATTCGCCTCCATTCCGTTCCGCCGCAATATAAATTGAGCCTAAGGCTCAACTCATACTGGCGCAGTGTCGAGTTGTCCGGTCGTGTCCTGTTTTTCAACTAAAACGTTTGGCATCGCGTTTGCATAACACAAATTTGTACTATAATAATGGGAAAATAGAGATGAATATGCTATAGGCAAAAAATATGATGCGTCGTGACGCTTCAACTCTGCGCCAGTGTGAGTTGAGCCTAAGGGTCAGGAAAAGCTAAGAGGTTCCCATAGATTTAGTATATATACTATGGTAGAGGTTCCTATTTAACCAAGCGTAGTTTGATCATAGACTACAAGTAACAAGAGGCAAAAATTACTATTACATTACCAAGCGAAGTCTGTATGTAGGTAGTCCGAAGATTTAAAAAAAATTAACATTATAAAACAAAAATAAGAATTTACCACAGTGCCCCGCGAATGTACTGAAGCGCAGAAAGCATCGTTAGGTAGATCCGCTCTCTTGCTTGGAGAAATTTTATTTTTGCAGGCTCGTGGTGTTAATATAGACGCTCGTTGCCATCGTGAATGTTGACGTATTGCTAAAAGATGACGAGGGCTCGTTACAAAAACTGTATTATTTTGGCCCAGCGTCGTCAGAACATGGCCTTATACCCTCTCATAGCCACCCAACATTGGAATATCATATGGCTTGACGGTACATACCCTGATCGTAGCCACCCCAGCCGAAGAATTTGCAATCGTCACCGACGTGAGGATCTGATAGACATGCTGGCTCGACGGATTCGCTTAATCTAAGGGGCCGTTTCCATTGCTGAAAAAAAAAAAATGGTTTCAATGGGCTTTGTGATTAATTATCATATCCAACATTATAGAAAATATCATACGTGTTGTTTTAATTACACAATACATACACTAGGTATACCTGGACGAGTATCTTACCAACAGAGCCAAATTATGTGCCAAATCCCCAGGTGTGTACTGAGGATGAAGATGTACGCTGACTAAACGCTTCTGCCAACCTTCACGAGTCGTATCACCCAAATCCCAAACACCTGCTATTAAGGTAATTTCTCCTGGTGAGGTCTTGCTGCAAAAGGAAAGGGGTCAGATAAGGGGTCCTCTAGATAGGAAGTGACTACGAGTTTGTTGCACCTGTACTCAGCGTTGCCAGTGTCAATTGTTCAAAATCACTATTAAAATCTCCAAATTTGAGGAGAACAAAGTTCATATTCCCCACATTTCAAGTTGTCATTATTTATTACAAATACATCGCTTAAAAAGAATTATAATAAAGAATTAAGAAACTCAAAATGTAACTATCTATTACGTTTGCTGTGAATGTAAATTGAATGTAAAATGTAAAGCAAATTATAAAATTAGGTGGCCTTAAAGCGTTTATTTATTTTAATGAGATTCAACATTAATCAAATTTTGAAAAAAAGAATTCATTTTTCTTTGCCTCACAAAATTAAGTACCTAACTTAATTATTTTGTTGCGCATTTGGTGACACTATGGTTAATGTTAGAAAAATCAGTGAATAAATTAGTGTGAGTTTCGACCTATATTTAATATTTAAACTTGACGAGTGCCGAGTGGTAAGTTGTGGTGTGGAAGTACCAATTGCTCGGCTTTGTTTATCAATAGCTGATTTCGTTTTTCTTCATACCGGGTACGGACCTAAGTGGGAGAAAGGATCGCGAACTCAACACGCATCGATTAGTAATTTTACAAGGGTAGTATTTGTCTTACCAAAAAAGCAAGTTTTTTCACAACCAAATATGCCACTTCCCCAACAAAAGTATCAAAATATGTACATCAAAAGAAAATTAATTTAGCATTATGTACTAAAACTAAAGCATAACATTTTATCGCAATGCATATCTAACATCTAAATACATAGGTATCTAATATTTCTGGCATACGACAATCGTATGACCACAAATTTATGAGAAAAAACATACCTATTTCACTGAGAGGTACATCAGTCTATCGGAATGAAATACCATTTTATATGACATAATATAAATGTAAGTCAATGGACATAATAGTGTAATTGTACAATTTGTCCACAATAATAAGATCAACAAAAAAAAAAAATTAAAATGGCACACAAACATTGCAACAAGTGTAATGCTTGAAAATCGTAGTATTTTGTTTTGTATTTGCAACTAAAGGTTTAATTTAGTTCCAACATTATGAATTGCATACAAGAAAATCAGCTCCAAATATAATATTTGTTGTACGTGATTCATTGTATAAAAGAAGATAATTTATGGAGCAACTTTAGAGAAAAATGACGGTAATTTTGTTAAAATAACTGTTGTTTCGTTTAGGTTAATTTAAATTGATGTACAATCAGTATTTTTGTTATGTAAACCATAATTTTGTAAATAAATGAACACTTCCGTTGTACACTGAGAAATTAGTCGAGTTGTAGTTTTGATACGTTTTAAGTTATTTTTGATACTAGTTTTGTTAGACAGTTGTTCTATTTGTAGTGAAATATTTTTTAGATGTGCAAGTTATTTGAATAATGAACATGATAATAATATAATAAGCTGCATGTTAATAATGCGAGAGATGTGCGATGTTAAAAACACAACGATATAGTTCATGACAGTGTTTCTAACAATAATGATCAATTTAGCGATGCATCGATGGATGCAGGCAACCGATAGATTAAACGAAATCATAAAATGTTAGAATCCCCACATTTTCCCCACATAGCGCCAATCCTCACAAATCTCCAATCTAGTTGAAATTCCCTTCAATTTGGGGAATTCCCCACAAATTGGCAACCCTGCTTGTATTATTGTTATGTATGAAACATTACCCATAAACACAATCAGCAGCCGTTACAGCGACTCTTGGAGTGACGATTGTTGAGTAACACAAGATACTTTGTCGTTTTCTAGACAACACTATCATAGCTAGCCATGGATGAGAACCTCTTTCGGCTTTCTCTATTTGCTTGTTCGAATCTGTAAATGTGTGCATAAAATATTATGTATTTTTGTGTACGTTCTGACCTCTTTTATTTATCATAATATACTCCCTTATTTATTATAAGTTAGTAGTTTTCGATAAATCAAACAGGCCAATTAATACTCAAAATGCAAGGTGTGTCCGGAAGTGTATATACGATTGTAGGTATTAGTTTCAATTCTCACCATCGTCATAGTCTGCTGATTCCTTTACAACTCTACCGCAATCCTTGAAAACTTGTTGATTTTTATCGAAATCGTCATATTCAGTTTCCACGCTCGCAATATGTACAGATTCCTTACTATCATCATCGTAAAAACGTTCGGTAGTAGTTGTTTTCTTCTCGTTCCTGTGAATTCTGCTCTTGTTTCGTACTAAATTGAGAAGTTTGTAGCCTTGTAATACATGGAAATCAGGATTTGATTGATAGTCTATAGTTTGGCTTTCAGCATCGTACGAATTCTCTTTCGAAGCGGTTGAAAGTTTCACTGGTCTTCTGCGAATTGGTGGTCTGGATGCACCGACATGATCTTATCAAAGAAAGAAAAGTTAGAAATTTTAAGTTTTAGTATTATGAAAATATTAAATTGTTTTTACCTAATCTCGGGTCGACAGTCGCAGAATAAATAAAAGATGTTCCACAGTCTTCCTCACTGTCAACGATTCCTCCATAAGCTGAACCAGGTTTCCCACCAACAAATGACCAATTAGGGGGTCGTGCAGCATTATTATCAGAATACAACCCTGTAAGTCCAGGTTGGGGCAATTCAACCACGTAGTCTTCTACATAATCCTCAGAATTATAGTCGAATTTAGTCGTTAATTGATGGGAAGGTTTAGGTAACTGAGTTTTAAAGTTTAAATTTTTTATATTCCAATAAGGGTCATAACCGTCTTCTGTTGTAACAATTTTGTGGTTGCCTTTTATAGTTGTTGGTTTATTCAAAAGGGCTTGTAGCCTTATTTGCCCATATTTTTGAACTAATAAAGCCTTCCTTTGTTTCATGGCGGGAGATTCTAACTCAGACCTTTTTATCCTCTTGGTAGCTTTAGGCGTTGAAGTTTCGATAAAGGCAATTTTGTGCGTTTTTGTGGACTGTGACTTATCAGAGAGTGGAAGAATACAACATATAGTTTGTGTTTCAAACGGGGACTTTTTAAATTCTCTGGAAACGAAAACACTATTTAGTAGGTACATATTTCGAAATTAATTTAGTGGTAGGATCCCTTAGATAGTTAATCAAGAATTAACGTGTTACCTGTCCTCTTTAGCATAAACAACACCTCCCCTATGATTACATTCTATTTTCTTCATCGATGTGCAGATATGCTCAGTTTCCGAATTTTCTTTAGTAACATGAAGGGGTGTTTTGTCGTTGATCAAAATTATACTACTAATCTTATTATTGTTTACACTTTTTTCGGTAGTTGTAGTTGAGGTACGCGTACTTTTGTTGCCATTTATAATGTGCCAAAATTCACGATCATCGGGAAATTTAAAATCAAGTACATCTTCACTTAAATGACTTGTCTTGTTGTTGTTTTTTGCTGTAATGGGACTCTTTTTGTTTTTTTGGAGTAAGAAATTATCTTTCATAGCATCAGGCCATGAAATCAGACTTTTGTCTTGAAATTGTATGTCGAGTTTCATTTTATCCTTTTTCAATGCTTTTTCTTCTCTACTATATTTCTCAGGTTTCGGTATCACTAAATCACTAAAAGAAAACGAGTAGTCGTTATCTCTGAAGACAATCTTGGCACTTTCATCCGTGTCGAATTCACTTAGCTCTTCGAATTTTGGGGGTGACGGTTCAATTCGATATTTATTTAATTCTTTGTTCATCCACCAGAAATTTCCGTCGATCTGCGATAATACGATTTTAAAAGTGATATAGTGGATTACAATTTTTGCAAACATTTTCGTTGATTTCTCGAAATAGAGAATAGAATTGTTGCAAACTAATAGCCCAGGATGTTGCAGCTGGTGCAACTGCAGTGGCGGCAATCCACAGCGATTTGTGCGTGTTCACCGTGTGGTATTGCAATTGTTTAGTGCAATTATAATGATTTGTGATGCGCTCGTGCGGGAACTGTGATGAATTATATGGTCGTTCACTCTGATGCTCTAATTTATATGTATGGTGAACAAACAAGTGTTATCGCTAAACGTGAATATGATGACTATTGCAGTAATTACAAAATTAATACAGTTATATTAAAATTAGTAATATTGTTCGATTTTGACCTACATATTGAAATTTAGGTCACCACTTATATAGGTATGCGTATTATTTATAATTAATATTGTATAAAATTGTAAGTAATTTAGAAACACATAAAATTACTATTATTTTAGTAGTTAGGTAATTGTAACAATTAGATACAGTGAATGTACCATAAAGTTAACATGATTGGAAGTTAAACTCTATGAAAACCTACAGCATATTTAAATAGCAATAACTTTTGTATAAAAAGAGGGACCTTAAAAGTTTGTGGAATTACATCTAGGTACCTATTTGCCAAGTTTTATTGAGAAAGGTTAACGGCAAGTGGGTGAAATCCAATAAACTGGATTAATTCCTTAATTTGTCACCCGTAGAGGTGAAATATTTTCTTCACATTTGAATGGGACTACTATTGAGGTACCCCTCATCCAACAAAAAAAATCATCGAAATCACAAATGTCGGAGTAATTGAGTAACATACACACAAAAAAATAGTCACATTGAGACCTTCTCCTGTTTTGAAGTCGGTTAAAAATTAAGAGGTACCTTCCATAGTTACTTTAGTCTCCCTGTTTAACTTTGCGCGCAAGTAAAAGTTTTTTACATTTCCTCTGCTGACCGTATCTTTCCAATTAAGTGACACATTATTATGCGTTTATATAAACGGTTGTGCGTAATTCCCAACGCGAATTACGAGTCTCATTATTGAGGAAGTTGTATGACCATGACCTGGATTTTGTCCAATATATCTAGTACTAATGTGACAGATATTTTATTAGAAGTAACTTGGTAGGTATCCATTTTGGTAAGTAGGTCAATGTTTAAATGTTTTTACGCGTTTAATTCCTTGTTCATAAAACAATAGTCGTGCCCCTCAGATCTTTGCGATTTAAAACTCTGAGTGGCACTGCAACTACTGTTATGAACATGCGTGTACCATCAGGCGCACGACTTAGTCGTCCTGTCACTTGATATTATATTAAAAAAAAAAAAGTATTTTCAAGTAATACCTACCTATATAAAAATATGATAACTGCTTCCGTGGCCGAACGGTTACCATGCTGGATTGCCCGGGTTCGATTCCGGGGCCGTTAGAAATATTTGTATGGCCTACATTTATTTCTATCGTGAGTTTGGGTGCAATTTGTGGTTGTCTACCTGTGTGTGTGTCCTTGGCACCCGCTATACTGGGTTTTCCTAGTGCAGGGTTGTGAGTGTGTGCGTTTGTTAGTTATTATTGTTAGTTATTATTAATGAATTAGAATTAATTAAAAAATAAATTAATGATTTAGAAAGAAAAAAATATACTGGAAAATGGTACCATGCGTGGACTGACACTGCGTGGGTTTTCTTTAGAGAGAGGTATAATGGAAGTAAATTTTGTTTACACATTGTATAACGTAAACAGTTGGTAAAAACCTATCGTCAGCTTATCACAGTTCAATACCTGGATATTGCTATTCCCAAGTAACGCCATTTTGCTCCAATTGACTGTGTTATTAATTTAGATTCAGCTCTTTTAATTCCCTGAGAATCGAAACAATCAACTAAACGTGTCATGCAATATCAGTTCTCGTAGATATGGTCTCCTCAGCTGTCTTTATTCATGCTGTTATCTTCGTGATAGTGTAATAATAAAAGCGACTTTCTTGCTTTTATATTAAGGTCTTTTTTAAGCTCTTTGAACCGCCAGTTTTCTAACTCTTTATATATTTTAAATAGAAAACCACCGTGAGACAAAGACGGTCAAGTTCCTAGTCACCGCCGCTGAATCTCATGATTAAGGGACCACGGACTGGCTCGAAATATGTCGAGCAAAAATTGGACTAAAATAAGCGAGTTCCTAGTTTAGTTAATACTATTCATTTATCTATTCGCTCAGCGTGTTAATGGTCAAGGAATGTAGAGTCATTCGGGTCAAGTGTGTGCATTTTTGTATAATAAAAACTTAAAACACGCGGATATTTTTTCCTATCAAGAATTTTGCAATTTTAAATTTTTTTTGAATCTAAAATCGGAATGCGTTCACTTCACCCGCATGGCGGGAGACCTTGCACCCCCTTGAGTGGTAAGTAGACGCACATGGGATTAGAGCATTGCTTGTTCATGGTGAAAATATATATTTTTTTTTAATTTAAATATGTTTCAATTGTATTGTTGATATTACTTAGATACTATATGTAATATAAAAAATGATGAAATATTAAAAATAGAAAAAGAAATCTTATTAACTTAGAAACTGGTATAAGTGCAGGTTTTTTTTATGTAATTCAGTAAAATTTAGGCATTGAAATATAAAATAAAAGCATGTTAAAAATATTGTACAAAAGAATGGACGATAACATTATAAACGGGGCAAGGGTACGCATGCGCACACTTACCCGCGCGCATTTACCCGTGAACACTTTCCCAGAGCACTGAATTGCAAATGAATGTTAACAAAAAAAATATTGGAACTATAACGTTTTTTAGAATATGTAGTGTAAATCTGTTCCTAATTGAAAAAAATAAATATTACTGTTACTAAAAATACAGGTGCTAGTGTAGTGTGTCACTAAGGCTACTTAGTAGATACTTAAACTATTTTTCCCGTGAGACGATCCAATTTTAAAATCAACTTAGTGTAGTAAAGACATAGGTTGTACCGCACTAAGAGTTAGAAAATGGAGTTATCCCTCGATCCGCTTCGAGTTGGAAACTCCTGATAAGAGTTAGGAGGTACTTAAAAACTTGCCGAACCAACCAAATTGATTTCCATCGTACTTCTCGAGGATAACTTTAATGAAAGTATGCTTTTCCGGTGTACAGTCAAGGGCCAAAGTGCGTGGAATCCGGTTCTAAGTGTTTACAAGAATAAAAACAAAAATAGCTTGGCTTCAGTTTCGCGTATGGATACAGTGAGTGTGGTTGTCGTAAAAAGTGAGTGATAACACCACATGTAATCGAGATGAGAGTAGTCGTCGACAGCGAAAGTGGGTAAACAGATATATCTGTTCTTAAAGCTGTCATTTGCCGCTGACCGAAATATAGGGAAAATAAAAAGAAATCATCTCGTGGTAAGAAACCTATGTGTGTGATAATCGTTTAGTGCATAGCCACTAAAGCTTTAAAATCCGTATCGTTTTGTTGTGAATTTTCATAAATTTAAACATGCTTTTAAATTTCTTAGTTATATCCCTCAACACAAACTTATATATGTTATTGCATAGTTCAATAAATATTTATTAGGAATAAGAATTTGGTTCTTTTAAAAAAATATGCTGTGGAGAATTTGTTTTACAAAAGTTTTAACTGTATCAGTTGTAACGATATTTCACTCAGCAACGATTTAAATTTCACATTCAATCTGATTTTCTGTATTAACATAAAAGGGTATTTTGTCTTTGATTAAAATTGTAGTACTTGTTTTATTGTTGTTTACACTTTTTTCGGTAGTTGTAGTTGAGATAGTTGAGTAGTTTTAGCGCCATTTATAATGTGCCATAATTCATTGTTATCCGGAAATTTAAAATTATGTGCATTTTCCCTTAAATTACTTTTTCTGTTGTTGTTTTTTGCTGCAATGAGACTCTTTTTGTCTTTTTGGAGATAAACTTTTGAAAAAAAGTATACTACGGAGAATTCATTTTACAAGAGTTATAACAGTGTCAATTGTGAGGATATTACAATAGAAAACGAGTTCTTTTTTAATTCTTTACCTTTATAAAGTTCAGCAAGTAATTGTAGAAAACTAACATCCTCCAGTAGCAGTAGAGCCCCTGTGAAAAACTTCGTCCAGGGAATTACTGCCACCTTACACATTCCTGCCGCCAAGCAGTAATGTGAGTATTACTGCGTTCCGGTTTGAAGGGTAAGGGTGCTAGTGAAATTACAGGCACATGGGACTTGTCAACTTATGCCTCAGGGTGACGGCCACAGTGTCAGTGCCCTTTGAGATGTATTGCAACTGTTATGGACAGGCGTGTCGCTTAGCACCAGGCCCACGATTTGTTCGTTCTGTCACTTGACATTTATCATAAAAAAAAATTATGGGGAACACTGTGAAAATCGAGTGCGTTGATATCTTCTGTATAGCAACGGCTGAAAATAGCTCAGTGTTCACATTATAACATGGTTAATATTGCAATATATGTTTTTCTGTCTTATGATACGGGAACCCTTCTGGTGTTAAACGATAAGTACCTTTAATATGTGTTAAAAAGGTCGACGAAAATCTCATAGTAATATCGACATCCATGTCGTATGTACTTATATCTGTAGTGCCGTGTAGAGAACTGTATAGATCGCATAGGGGTTTCTGCATCGGCTGGTTGTATGGTTACTATTCCATAATTTACGGCTTTAAAAAAGGAGGAGGCTCTCAATTCGACTTTTTTCTTCGATTTTTTTGTATGTGTGTTACGCGATAGCTCATTTGTGAAAGAATTTTGATGTTTCTCTTTTTATTGGAAAGAGGATACCCCAGTATTGGTCACATTTAAATTTGAAGAAAATATTCCACCTCTAAGGGTGGCAAACTAGGGGATGAATCCGGTTTCGCGCACTTTTCGGTAACCTATTTCAATAAAACTTGGCAAACAGATATAATTCCACGAACTTTTAAGGTCGGTTTTTTTTACAAAAAAGTTATTTATTTTATTTATATATTTTGTATTAATATTGTAATGTAGTTATATACAATGTGCTAGATAAACACACCAATTACCTGGTCTCAAACTAGGGCCTTTCCCTGTACTATGAGTACCAGAGCAACGGAATTCACTTCGGAGTAC